AAGCCGAAAACTAGCTGTTTTTGGTAGCATCACAAACATGTTAAACATAATGCATATGCTCTGCAATTTTAATATAACATGGATCGAATATCGAACTATACGTCCTAGAATTTCTATATAATTTCATAAAGAAATTCAACTAATTTAGGACATTTTTCGTGAACTAAAATCACTGCGACTGGGTACCACCGGTCGCTTAAATTTGGGCAATTTTAGGGGTATTTCATTGCTACGTCGCAGGAAATTCTACCGATCGCAGTCGCACGAGATTGATGAATAGGACGTAATCGCTAAAAAAGGCCCTTGCGACATCGCAGGCTTGCGACGTGCTTGCGATAGCTTGATGAATGACCCCTCAGGGACGCAATCTTGGACAAGCCTACTGAAAACACTGAAATGACTTTTTCAACATCGATCAAAATTTTCAAGACAATTAAAAGTATCATAAACAAACAGAAACATTATTATGCCATCATAGCTTTATTTTATGATTCTGTGTCTATCGATCTTTGACTAGAGGAACTTCACATCTATAGATACTATGAATGTATTAATACCTCACATAGCATTAAGATTGAATAATCTTTTAAAACTTTGAAGATTGAACCGTTCAAAAACTGTATCAACACCCACGCACATGGGTTCGAGGTACGAAGCCAATACTTCGTAAAGAAATCATAAAATAACAACATGTAGAACAGGGCATTAACATTACAAAATGTCACCACATTGTAGTTCAAGTCAAATCTTGAAAAAATGGTAATTTGAAGCAAGTTGAAAAATACCTTTTTGATCTTTTTGAACTTGAGAGGTCAAATGTCAAATCAAAAGTCAGATTTGACTTCTGAGAACTTGTAGGTGATTTTGAAAAAAATCCGTCAATTTGAAGCAAGTTGAAAAATACCTTTTAGACCCTCTTTACTTTGAGAAGGTCATTGAAGGTCAACTGTCAAATCTGAAGTCAGATTTGAATTTCTGAGACCTTGAAGATCATTTTGAAAAAATGTTCAATGTGAAGACCTTTTTGAAATGTACAGTAGTAACAAAGAAGAGTGCATTCTTGTTCTATTGTTTTTGAACAATGGCTATCTAAAACCAGTGTGGCACAAAATATGAATGACAGTGTTTGGCTCAATATTAACACCTTGATTGTCACATGCAGTGCAATGAAGCTGTACTAATTAAACCTTTTTCAATCACTCAATAGTTGAATTGTAAACACATAATAAATAAAATTCTTAACTGTACCTTGCCTGATACATGCGGTGCATTGAAGCTGAACCAATTAAACCAACTTACTTCTCTACACACTTACCTCATAGTTAAAACAGATTAATTTTTCTAAACTTGGATAATGGGTCATATACCCTTCATAAGAGTCAGTATGGGGTTTAAGTGGGATAAACTATTCAAACTGGGTCTAATATGAACGCCCCAGGCCAAACATCTCTGCTATTATTTCTCATAAAACCCAGGACTCATAGTTTATCCATACCTGAACTGAATGAACGATTAGAAGATTCATTGACCTTCTCTAAAATTACTAACTGAACATGTTGCTATACCTTAGACGACTTCCTGGTTATTATTCACTAAAGGGAGTCTCATTATAGGTTGGCACATAAACAAAAGCTTTTAGGTCCCCTGACTGCTACTTGGTTCGGGGTTGTTGTTATAGGGGCTGTAATTAGGAATAGAGGTTTTGGTTAAAACGAGGGTTCCCAAACTTATCTATAGTCCATAGGCCTATGTAAAAGTAGTAGAAAGCTTATGAGCATCTGGGGCATTCATAAGCTGCCTTCCTACTACTTTTCCTGAGGCCTATGCTGTAGGTCAATTGACGTAATTATGATTAAGCTTATGGATGGTGTGATTCCAGAGATAAATAAATGTTGCATCTAATATTACACCATTGTAATTAAGGGCATTCTTGAGTGGATTTGACCTAGGATGAAGAAACTACATAGGTGACCCCGGGCTTTGAAAGTCCATTATAAGCAGTAATTGCGAATTCAACAAACAGCTGTCAGATCAACCTACTATTTTTTGGCTCATTAAATATAAATAGTACCTGCCACTATTTCAATCATATTAAAATGAATTTGCCATCAAAAGTAGGTTAAAACATTGCCTTTTACCAAACATAAGACATCATGAATACTATCAAAGTGCAGTCTAATACCGAGTGAGCCAAAAATGTAGCCCAAACAAATTGCGCATCTGTTAAAGTGTTATTTCGCATAATAAAACCTTGTTTAATGTTCTTTCATTTTACTACAGTGCTGATATATAATAATACAGGGTGCGTTTTCAAACTAAACAGAGTGCTCCTACCAAAATGAATTTGCCTACATACCCCTGAAACTCTTATCTGATAGATAGAATGCACAAATAAAACAAAAGTTTTGCTATTATAGGTAAAAAGTTCTCTTGAAATTTCGAAGTGATTTTACCTGTTAATTCTGTCCATTGTCCGCCATTTTTGCGGAAGTTACACTGAAATGCAAACTCCAAGAAACGAAACGAAATCACTAGAAAAAACATGGCACACATTGTGCGCATGTGCAGCAAAGTTTAGACCAATCAGATTACTTAAAATAAACAAACCTGGCAGAGACTACCCTTAGCCTTCTTCATTTTGGCGAAATTTCAGCTCAAACTGTGACAAATGCATTATGCATACGCTGGTGTGAAGCCTTGGAGACACTCAATTTGCTAAATATGATTTATGGGGTATACTTTTCTGCAGTTTGTGGGAGTTTAGGACATTAAATGTTAAAATTCAAGAAAATATGCCAATTGAACGACTGATCAATTAATATATACCAGCACTGTAAGTTTAATTGGCCCTATAATACGAAACATGGTCCAACATGCCAGCCTCATCTCATGACCACGGGCTATCTCTGAGATAATGTCAACCCCTACAACAAGTTAGAAAAAAATTTCTGTGACTGTGAACTTACAACCTCAACCGACCAGTACAGGTCTGCCTGAAGGGACGAGGCTGAAATTTGTAGAATGGCCATAGAATTGTGACCATGAGAAATGGACCCATGAAACATGGTAAAATGCAAAAGGAATTTACATGGTAAAATAAACCAAATATGATTTCAACTCATACTGAATGAGAGTTAATAACATTTCTTTGGATGACATTTTTGTCTCACCCTGTAGTTCATTTTATTTTCACACTTATTCATTTCAGCCTGCCCAAACACAAATCTAGGTTGAATAGTCAAAACCTGGTACATGTAATTTTACAAAGAACCATTCAGTATATAAATAGCTCTACGTGAATGACACAACTGTTTAATACACAAACAATACAAAGTAAAATACAGGATTAAGGCAATACATAATGAGTAAGTCACTATCCGAGTGTTTGAAACAATGACAAACAAATTATTTATGACACTTAGCTGCCCTCTATTTTGTTATTGTATAATATTAGTATGAAGCACTTTATAATATCAGAAAAAATTACGAAAAAATCACGATTTGTTTCTAGTGAAAATTATGGAATTGGTAAATGAGTAGGTGCATGACAATTCTAGGTTTTCCAGGATTTTTTTTGAACCAATATGCTTTATGGGCTTTCAATTGTCATTACTAAAATTCCTATAAGTTGGCCTTGAATGAAAAATATGATTTTTAGATTGACCCCTCTAATATACTATTGATATAAATTATGCATAAATTATCTCCATTTCTCAAGAAATTTCTGACCAAGGGAATTTTTGTTAAACATAGGTGCATTGATACTAGTAGACTATATACTAGTACTAGTATATCATGATGTCATTTAATGCTAACCCCCCTATCACACCAAACTAGTTCTTACCTGTTCTTGCCAGTCCTACGAAAACGTGGTAAAACGGGCTCAATCTGGCTGTGGTCGGGAAATATGTCGAAAGTAATTAGCTACTTCGTTCATAAACAGTCTTCAATACGTCCATCTCATTCGCAGTTCGTTCAGGTCGCACCAGGTCGGTGTGCAACAGTGCAACGTCGTGTAACGCGTCCCTTAGTCTAGAAGGTCATCATTACCTGATTACAGAACGGTATGGTCGCCATCGAATTTTGAATCGATTCAAAATTCTAAAATCACCTTTCCGTCTGAGAACGTTCATGAAGTTTGTAAATAGACCTTAGAAAGTTACAGCTACGTTCATTCCGTTCGCACACAGTTTAAAACCAGTTTTGACGAATGCAGTGACAACTTGTTTGGTGTGATAGCTATATTTTTGCTAACTCATTCATAAGCAGTCTTTAATACGTTCTTAGTCAGTTTAAACCCGTTTGCAATTAGTTCTACCTCGTTCTCAATACATCCTCAGACAGTTAAACTCGTTATAAAAACGTCTCTATTAGGATTGAAGTACGACGGTTCCGTTCGTAGTCCGTCCAGCTCGTCGTTAATACGTTGTCACTCGTTCTTATTGTAGAATGTGACGACCACGAGAACATTTTGAGCATGTTCTAAGTTCAAGAGGACCTATCCGTTCGAGTACGTTCGATGAAGTTTGTAAATAGACCCCAAACGGTTCTAAGTACATCCAGTCCGTTCGTACACAGTTGAAGTCCGTTTTCGAGAATGAGTGAGAACTAGTTTGGTGTGATAGTAGGGTAACAATGGATGTGAGAGTCCAGCTCTCCAGCTGTGATAGCCTAATAATTGTTTTAAGTTAAGCCACTCATAACTTAAGTAGGCTTATTCCAAATAGGTCCTCGTCTCCTTGACCAAATAAAGTTTCAGGTTGATTTTATAAAAAAAAACTTCACAATTATCGTGTGCCAAGACCATCTTCCTCAATTAATGAACCATTACACGAAACAATATCCCAAAGCCATAAAAGTTGTGACTGACTCAAATTGCAGAGGTATACACTTAACTATTAAAAGCGAACACTATTTCAAAATGTCTGCCATGAATAGGACTTCTCAAAGGGTTCATATTTTGATGTGTTTGTATCATGGAGGAATATTTTTTCATTCAGGGGATGATGTGTACTCTAATCCCGCGCCTCCCCAGGGGATGGCTCAGGGAGATGATGATGATGATGCGCAGCCACTTACCAATGATGACTTCCGCAAGTTGATGATGACACCCAGAGTTCCAAGTTCTTCAGGCTCGTCAAATGCACCTCAGATGTCAAGGCTCAATAAACCGTTAGTATACAGTTTTTACATGTCTTGAAATGAAATGTCTGCCTAGTGCCCCCCCCCCCCCCCCCCCCCCCCCCTACTGCCTACCTCTTGATGATAATATTATTTCCAGGAACTTGCAAAGGAACTTGATGGAAGAATATATTTGTTCATTACTAAGCAATTATATGATTAAATTACAGAGATACATGTAGTCAGTGGTAATTGATCTTATTGTGTTTGCTCTTAATTGATTTCTGGCCCACACTGCCAGTCTTTGGGATCAGATAGGTGTGCAACCTGCTGGTGGTCTATCACTTCATTTACTGTAGATTGGGTTAATTTGGCGCCCGCTTTAATTTGGCGAATTTGGCGAAATTGAAAAATTCGCCAATATAAATCTTCGCCAAAATTTAGAATGAATCCCTGGGAATTATCTAGGGTATTTCGTCCAGTGTATTTAGGTCACTTCCTGTTTAGTTTTTTCCAAAAATATGAAAAAAATGTCTCTCATAAATTGGCTCAGAACTGGTCAGTCACTCATTAATACTCAGGGAAGAACTGGAAAGGAAAAGTATGGTATTGTAGCAGCATCGATCGAGGTGCAAAATGTAAAGGATGATCTCAAAAAATGTACAAACGTGGTGAATATCGCCAGTGGTCCTCAAAAGAAAAAAAGAAAAATGAACATAGCCAAATATGCCCATTTACGTGGTAATTCGCAAACAATTTTTTTCGCATATCCGCCAAATTAAATAGCTGCCATTAAGCCAAAAATGGCAAAATCGCCAAATTAAGTAGCGCCAAATTAACCCAATCTACAGTATTTAACCTCTGTTATATCATGATCCTATAAATATCATTCATAGTATGTGTGTGACCTGTCATAGCCATTTCTCAACTCATAGATTTCAAGAAATTGTTTTTCTTTGTATAGATGCATGAGAAAGTATGCTATTAAGAGGGTCTTTATCTAGGGTGTAGGAAGGTGTAAATTCAACACTACGCCAAATAGATAAAAAAAATGAAACAATTGTGTCAAATCTTCTGTATCAAAACACCCATTTTATGCTCGTAAAATGTCATTATATGGCAATACCTTTCTAATGTGCTTTAAATGGTCAAATGTTTTTCATCATATAAAATCACCATGGAAAGCCGATCATTTAAATCTCGACATAACTCACGTAATTCTCATGTAAATGTAAATGTTACTTTTCTCGAATGATATAGGTGACCAGGGGCGTAGGAAGGTGTAAATTCAACACTACGCCAAAAATCCCGCCAAAAAAATATGAAACAATTGTGTCAATATTCTATATCAAAACGCCTATATTATGCTCGTAAAACGTCATTTTATGGTAACAGAGATTTCAAGCTTGCAATATTCACAACCTAAATGTGAACGGAAATACTTAAGCGATGCATTTGTATGGGCGATTGGTCATACGTATAGGTTGGCGTTTCGATTTCATATGCAAGCTTTAAATCCCCGATACCTTTTTAATGTGCTTTAAAATGTTCGAATGATTTTCATCTTTTAAAATCACCTTGGAAAGCCTATCTTTTAAATCTCGACACAAATCATTCTCACTTTGCTAATATCTCGAACGATTGAGACGACCAATTTCCAAAAACAATTAGAGATTTTTTAATCATTTTCGAATAATTGAATTAAGATCTGAAGATATGTAGTATTGTCGGATTCCATCGTGTACCGTGCAATACAATACGTACAGATTAAAGAAACTAGTTTGATCAATTGATATAAAGAAACGCATTCGTGATCAATGAAACAAATAAATACACCCACCACAAAGGTCAAATCGAGGTCAACGTGACTCAGGGGATGCCAAAAAATGTTATAAAACAAGAATCTATTATTTGTCAAATGAAAAAAAACTAGGTTATCGCTTTTCTAGAACTGAAATCAATGGAACGTGTAATTGAATAATCAGCATTTTCAAGTTGTTTTTGTCTTTAACATCCATATTTCAAAAAGTACTACCAATAACAATTAGTGATTTAGTAAGAAATAGATAATTGTTGACTTAACTATAATTTCGTGTCTATGATTTTGCATAGCAACGGAATATAAATCGATAGTGAAATTGAAAAATTGGGGTAGGGGAGAATAAAAAAAATATACATCTAAATTTAAAGAGGTTCATCATTATAATTATATGATACCATAGTTAGCATAAGCATTACGGAAAATGCAGAAAAAATGTCAAAGGTATTCATCAAGTAGTTTTTGAAAAAAACACTTTCCTCTCAAATTCGTGAAGAGAACGCGATTCACGAATATTTGGCGAAATTGTATTTATAAGACAGTCAATAGTGGCTCGATTTTCATGAAATAAAGCATGTTGGTAAGGGAATTCAATCTGTTAAATGATATTTGCCAGACAGACCAATAATGATATGGTATCCACAAAACATTTCTTTAGGCTAGTTTGCTCGAGATTACTTTTACAATTTAAACAATGAGAAAATATGACTAAAGAACATAGGAAAGTTAAAAAGTCTTTTTTATTCTCACTTTTCAACACTACGCACTGGCGGTTTGGCGTACATTGTTCCTACGCCACTGGTGACCAGTTTCCAATTAACAATGAGAGATTTTTAAATATTATATTTTGAAATTTTGGTAGTATATTAACAACATCTATCTATTTCACATATATCCCGGGTTTTTCACCCTGATCCCCAGGGGCCGTAAATGGCGGATTTGAGATGTTTTTAAGTATAGCTTTATTTTACTCAAATGGAAGGCAATTTAGAGCAGAAGGCAATTTAGAGCAGATTGCAAATATTATAGCATTTTTCTGATTCGGGCCTCAAAAAATTCAAAATGGCCCCCTAATGCGGGATTTTGCAATTATTTTCTGATCTCTTAAAAGTATGGCTATATTATACTCAAATTGAAGGTATTTCAGAGTAGATCACAATAATGGCATTGTTTTTCTGATTTGTGCCTCTGAAAATTCAAAATGGCTGACTAGAGCAGAAATTTGCCATTACTTAGAGTTAACTCGAAAGTATTGTTACATGATACTACAATGATTAAAATATTTATTGAAGGTAAGAGTAGATGGTAAATATTACATTGTGACTGTACAGATTGATGATTTATATAGTGTTCGTTGGGATTTGCTTCTCCGTGGAGTTGCCATTTTCTAGTTGGTATTTGTAAAACTCCTGTTTAGAACAGAGCACATTTACCAAATATGGAGCCTTACACCCCCAATCCGCAACATCATCTTGCAGCGCTGTGTTCTGAACATTGCAGTGAGCACTGCACTGTACAGCGATGTATAGTGCTATTTAAACGTCACCTGTTTTGAACAGTGTAGTTCAGTACTGTTTTTACAGCGCTGTACAGCACTGTTTTAGAAAACAACAATGTTTCATAAACAATCTACTCATTATCCCACCGAATGAAGTTCGAGGAGGATATAGAGAAGCCGTTGTTCGACCGTCCATCCGGGCGATAACTCCAATACCGGTTGACGGATTTAGATCAAATTTCATAGGCTTATGCCTTATGAGTGTAGGACCTCTGCTCGAGAAGGAATTTTCAATATGGCCGCTCAATTCAAAATGGCTGCCATTTTTCGTAAATAATGTAATTGTTGATAACTCAAATACAAGTTGACAGATTTGGTTCAAATTTTATATGCTGATGCCTAGGGACAAAGGAGTTTCCCACAAAAAGAGATTTTCAAGATGGCCACTTAATATTAAAATATCGGCCATTTTTCGTAAAAATATGTAATCTTTGATAAATCAAATAACAGTCAATGGATTTGGTTCAAATTTTATATGATGATGCTTAGGGAAACAGTAGCTATGTTGGAAAAAAAAATTTCAAGATGGCCACTTAATTTCAAAATGGCGGCAATTTTTCGTATAAACTGTAATCTTTGATAACTCAAATACCAGTGAACAGATTTGGTTGAAATTTTATATGATAATGCCTAGGGACACAGTTGCTATGTTCGACAAAGAATTTTTAAGATGGCCGCTTTATTTCAAAATGACGGCAATTTTTCCTTAAAAAAACATAATCTTTGATAACTCAAATACCATTGAACGGATATGGTTCAAATTTTATATGATGATGGCTAGGGACACAGCTGCTTTGTTCAAAAATGAATTTTCAAGATGGCCACTGAATTTCAAAATGGTGGCCATTTTTCGTTAAAAAAAACATAAAATTTTGATAACTCTAATACCAGCGAACGTATTTGTTTTAAATTTTATATGATAATGCCTAGGGACACAGTAGCTCTGTTTGAGGAAGAATTTTCAAAATGGCATATGAATTTCAAAATGGTTGCCATTTTTTTTAAAAGAACATAATCTTTGATAACTCAAATACCAATGGACGGATTGGGTTCAAATTTTATATGCTGATGCCTAGACACAAAGGAGCTATGCTAAGAAGACATTTCCAAGGTGGCCCCTGATTTCAAAATGGCCACCATTTTTGGTAAAAAAAAACGTAATATTTGATAACTCAACTACCAGTGGATGGACTTTGTTCAGATTTTATATGCCGATGTCTAGGGACAAAGGAGCTTTGCTTTTTATCAAAATGTGTTTTGTTCGGTGGGATTTGCTACTCCTTGGAGTTGCTGTTTTTCTAGTTCAAGTTTGACCTGGACCCCTGGTTATCTTAAATCAATTGGTTTTCATGGGTGAATATTTCTTAATTACTCTTGAATTTACTCACATAACAAAAATGATTTGTAAGAGCACGGATTTATGTGTAGATTCTTTGTAGGATGCCAAAGGAATTTACATCAGAAGAGAATGACCCAGGACAGAGGAGACGAGAGAAGAAAAAGATGTATGCCAGGTTGAAGAAAGTTGAAGAAGAACGTCAAAAAGAATTGGAAAAGAAATATAGGGACAGGGTGAGTGTTAAAAGCTATCCACTCCAAAGTATGAAAACAGTCTTCTGTAAAGTGGGAAGAAGACAAAATCAATAATACCCTACATGCATAGCTGTGACAGCCATTTCAAATTTACTACACTGAGATTTATTGTAAACTGAAAGAGTGAAGACGAAGCTCTCTTTTAAGAAGCGAAGTCCAAAAAAATGCAAAGACTAGTTGCTGAGACTGAACAAGCTATACACCTCTTTTTTCCTGATCTCTTTTTCAATTCTCAATTATTTTTCACTGGATAAACTTATAACATTCCTAACAACAAAATCTTTTGTTAAAATCATAATCAATTTTCATTAGAATCACAGCTTTTTAGCAAGAAAAAACAGAAAAAGTAGATTTCTTTTCTTGCTTCTATGTTTCACTTTTCCCTCAAGTGAACAAAGCCCAGATGTTAAATTACATCATTTTTTGGAAGTATGTTTTTTGCTTCTTGATTCTTTGAAGATAATGCTATCATGCGTGACATTGTATCGCCTCAGGAACAACTTGAAACAAATATTCAAGACCTCATTGATTGGTTTTAATTTGAACAGTTGATGACGTCATAGGCATGTTTCCTTACCGACACAGCAAAGCAAACAAACATGTCAATCTGTTCACTACCTTCGTACTATTATCTTCAGTGGTTTAATTTACAGTGGATCAGTATGCATAAATCAAATGGGGTAATTGATTTAAGTTCCATTTCAACTGATGTCCCCGAGGCATGAAATAAACCATCGGGAAACTTCAAAAATATTGATTTACTGAATTATAACTGTTTCTACAGCTGGATGACGCTACAGCAACTAGCTTCATTCAAGATTCTTTCGTTTTTGATAAACCTCAGATTTCGGCTAAACTAAGTTGAATTTTGATTCCAAAAGTTTCACCATGCAAATTAATAAAACGATTGTATTCCACCACAAATGAATGCCCAAACACCCGCAATATTAGAGAATTTTAAAGAAAACGGCCTCACTGAGAATGACTCTAACTGAAGTTGATGATCTACGTCATCATTACATCACTAAAATGTGTTATTCATAATGCTTGATTATAGTTGGAAATAGAGTTAAAATCAGTGTCCATTTAATTGCTCAAACATGAACTAACGAAGCAATCTGGCAACGGCACAGAGAAGCATTTATATTATATGAATTAGCTATTCATTTAATCCAGGCGAAGGAGAGACGCGATGATGGGCCAGGGAAAGAAGATGAAGTCGTGTCAACCACAGCTGATTACAGAGCAGTTGCACCTGATGCTAAAGCGTAAGTTAACAACTAAACCCAAAATGTTTTATATCCATTTCTCTCCACTAGAAAAATAAAATAATGAGTCCTTCATTCATAATTTTTCAATTGATTAGAGCTAGATTTAGGAATGGGTTTACATCATATTCCACCGTTGTCAGGACAGATAGTAAAACAAACAGGGTTTATCAAAATAATAAAACCAAATAAGAACTTTATAAAAATAAAGATTCCATGAAAAATACTCAAACAGATATAGAAATAGGTTGATAATAAGTTGATCACGGTGTATGTGCATTTAATTAATTGGTTTACTTCAAGGGGAGAGAACTATGCAGAGAGAAGAAAACAGCTGATCCAGGAATCCAAGTATCTAGGAGGTGATATGGAGCATACACATTTAGTGAAGGGACTCGATTATGCTCTCTTAGAAAAGGTAGGTATTCATTTCGAAGATCTTTACATAGTCCTGGATATTTGCACATGATCTCAGTATACAAGATGACCAGGAATGGATTGTGTATGACTTTTGTTAAAGTGGACAAAATGGTGGCATACGATAATGATTTGGTCTGTGATCGTTGTCTCGCTTTTTGTCATCGCAGTTCAAGGAAAATCACGTCATTTTGTTATAATGAAACATCCTATGAAAACAAGCGTAGATATAGGCACGAAGACATGGGTATTATGATATTATCATGGTCTTTTGAGCAATTTATTGTTTTGTTTCAAAAATTAAAATCACAGAAGTTTTCTTCTATCTTTGATTCATCAAAAAATCAACTCTGTTGATAAATCACAATTAACAATTTTATTTGAGATCAAGAGGCTAATGATACCTATTACGCAAGGGGTAAAAGCATAAAAGACAAGATGGCATCCTTATTATGTAATCCCGGGATTATGTCCCATGTGGCCCAGTTTGATTTTCTGGTCTTTTTAAAATATCATTCACAATATAGTTCATGTGCTACCAAGTAGCTGGGCTGGACTGAAATGTATTTTCGGCTGTATACAGCAACTTCACGTACAGATTCCTTACATAGTTTTCCACGAACCAACAATCCTAATGGGGTTTATATCCGTGCAGTAGGGCTGGCACGGAACGGAATTATTGTCCGAACCGTCCGATTTTGCCTTCGGAAACGGACTTTCGGACCTACCTTCTCATATTCCGATAATTTTCAGAATTTTTTTTTTCCGTTAAGAACATTCACTTATCGTTATAGCGACACGCTAACTCGCTATAGTGAACTAGTACTATGTAACAAAATCAATAAATATATATAATTATTAAACATTTTCACTTGGTAAAGTTGTTTTATATGTAATGAATGATAGAAATAAATAAAGTATGATTGTTTTATATCTATTCAGTACCCATAAGAAAAGACAATTATTGTAAGAAAGACAATATACAGTAACAGTTGTATGCCAAGGTGCCAAGAAGGCAATGACATTAACATTTTGCCATTAGTTTTGAACATTTATACCACTTGTTCTGGCAGTTAGATAGTGTTTGTGTTTGTATTTAATAAACATAATATAACTTATATATATATAGTTGTACACTGCTGTTCCAATGGTAACAAAAATGAGAAGTTAAGGGGAGAAGTAGGAACTATTTTAAAAAATTCCGAAAGTTCCGAATTCTGAAGCCAAGTTCCGAATTCCGTTCCGTTCCGATTCCGTTCCGTTCCATGCCAGCCCTACTGTGCAGTGTACGAGGGGTGATCCAAAAGTCTTGGACGCCCTGCTCTAACTTTGCTATTTTTTAGTATAACCACATGAAACTTTCAGATAATAAAGATCAACATCTTAACAACTTTATGTATAAGTTTCAACAGAAAATAATATATTTTAGCTACTTTTCTACATATCTTTTAATACCGGGTCCCTGCCACCCGGAACGGTATATAAATATAGCAAATCACGTCACAACTGTTATAATATGGCAAATACTTTAGGTGCATGTGCACAACCTAACACCAGCCATGATATGAGAGACTTTTCGATTTTCAATCTGAGTGTCATCTGCCATCATCATCTTCACATATTAAGACATACTTTTCAACATATTTTCCACGAATTTGAACACATTTTTCAAACCACTTTACCAATGAATGGAAGACATTTATGAAACCGTCATTGCTTATGTGATACAAATGCTGCTGGAGTGCTACTATAAACCTCATTCAATGAGTAAAAAACATTTTCTTTCAACCATCCTTTCAACTTGGAGAAAAGGAAGAAAATTACATGCAGCCATAGATAGACTGTATCGTGCATATGGTAGCTGCTCAAGGTCAATAATAGTCAAAATATCTTGTAGTATTCTTTGTTCCACTTTGATTTCTTTCGTGTTCTGCATTTCAGGAACCATCTTGCAGCAAAAATGATACCAGAATGAGGGTTGCTTGTCTGATGGCATTTTCTTAGAATTTGACATGTGCGGCCATTGTCATATGTGACATTATAATTAAAACACAATTAATTGGTTGCCTACTAAACTAACATGGTTTAACATTCAAAATTCAAAAAATATAGTGGTCAAGACTTGCGAAACAAGTGAAATGGCGGTAACATTTAAGGCTGAAAGTTGCCATGTGCGAATACCGTTCCGGGTGGCAGGGTCTCTGTATTGAAAACTATCTAGAAAACTATACAAAATATATCATTTCTCCATGAAATTAATACACAAAGTAGTTAGGTTGTTGGTCTTTATTATTGGAAAGTTTAAAGTAATTTTAACGAAAACCAACAAAAATAGAGCAGGGCGTCCAAGACTTTTGGATCACCCCTCGTATATTGATTTGATTAAAACTGCTCTATCTATCGATTACTAGGGGTGGGACGGATAACCGAAATACCGAAAACCGCGGTTCATAGCCTTCGGATCGGTTTTCGGATCACGGCCCTACTTTTGGATCAGCTTTTTGGATCGTTTTCGGATTAATATTTCATTGGTCAAGTATCAATAAAACAGTTAAAAACACTGTTTTACAGCAACATTTTTGATATTCCTAGTCCCTACCTTGTCTGTCTTGTCTGTTGCTAGCTCACTCGTTTCGTATCCGCGTATTCATATCCGCGTATTCGTATCCGCGTATTCGTATCCCTCGGTAATCAATCATGTGGTCCCTGGTACTATATTCTTTAGTCGTGTATTCTAAATAATATGTATTGTTCATCAAATACTATAACATAAAATTCCATCTATAAAATATTGTTATAACGTGGCATAATTGATACAAAGATTAACGCAAATTTATATTTGCGCAGGTTCGATATAGGGTATTATTTTGTGCGCACCCACAATACATTTAAATATGGCGTCTTATTAAAAGAAAGTGACAGTCAGCAGTGAAGTCAGAGACAAAGCAACTAATCATGTCAATCAATACAAATCCTTAAAATGAATGAACCGAACCGAAAAACTCGAACCGACGGCTGATGATCCGAAAAACCGAACCGAACCGAACCGAAACGAACCGTCCCATCCCTATCGATTACACTGTCTGTCAAAAGCATTTAATCACTCGGCCAGTTTTAACAGCGGAATCTGTCATCCTCCCAAGCCTTGTAAATGTTCATTCTCCATTTGCAGGTTCGGGCAGAGATCAACATCAAAGAGGATGAAGACACGTTTCTCGATGAGGTGTTGACAGCTAAACCGTAAGTTTGAAGAATTTCTGAGTTGTTAACATGGTTAATGTGTAATTTAAATTAGGAGTCTATTCCAGATTTGATATGTTTATATCGGGTGGATAAAAAAAAACGTCCCGAATTTGAGAGTTAATATCTCAGAAACTAGTAGTATATAAGTGAAACTTTCAGTATTATAACTTCATCCTATTGCCTCTAAGACCTGAAAGTTTCAATGCAATACCTTTAGTATTAACAACATAACGTTAAAAATAAAAAGTATGGTCCAAAAATGAAACACCGGGCTATAAAGTTATGACATCTTACCTTGAAAGTTAAAATAAATGATCAATAGGGCCCCCATCCTCACTACACACTGCTCGAAGCCTTTTCTTCCAGGAACTTATGAGCTTCCTTTTCTGTTCCATGGAGATATCTTCCCAACATTGGGTAATACGGTCCTTCAATTCCTGTTCTTTAAACCTCTGCCTTCGGCCTTGATAAACCTTCTCGGAAAGAGAGTCCCAGATACTGTAATCCATTGCATTGCAATCTGGAGATTGTGGTGGCCAGTCATCTTTTCTGATGAATGCAGGTGTGACCCCTGCACAATTTTACTAGTGTGAGATGTTGCCCCATCTTGCTGGAAAATGTAGTTGTTGTCAGGATACAGTTGGCGGCAGTCTGGAAGAAGGCCTTCATCTAGTAGTTTTATGTAACTATGAGTATTCACCTTGGTTTTCTCAGTGTCTATAAAATAAATTCCAGTCTTTCCATTCCAGGAGACACCTGCTGAAACCATTAGTTTTTTTGAAAACCTTGAACACTCATGATACAATCGGGAAACTGGAATATCCTTCTTATTCACACCATAGACAACATCTTTTTGTCTATTCCTTGCAATCTCCAACGTAAAGTCTTTTTCATCAGTAAACATGATGCGTTTTACATCCTCCTTTGAATGACGGTCATACAGACGTTTGCAACGTGTTTTTCTCTTCTGTTTAACAGTTTCATCACGCCTAGACACCTTAATCCGTTTAAAAGCCTTGAGGTTAAGTTTTTTGGTCATATGTTCTGAACAGATCTACGACAAACTCCCAAATCTTTAGCAATCTGCCGCTGTGATTTGTGTATTCCTGGTCGTTCCTCTTGGGATGATATCATTTCTTCAACATAGTCAATGTTCTCCTGTGTACAGGCACTTCTTGGTCTACCACTCCCTGGCTTTCTATCAGTGCATCCCTTTGTCTCTAGCCTTTTGATGATTCTATTGATTGATCTTCTATTCCACTTCTTCCCTGGGAATTCCAGAGCAATCCTTGCTCCCTTCCATCCCTTTTCAATGAAACATGCCTCAATTATTGACTTATCAGTCTTGCTGAACACCATGATGGCAACTTGACAGTAATCTTTGGAAGAGTAAAGTGAATGTGATATGAATAACTTTTAGCAAAGACTACAATGTAGCAACATTGCACTTTTTGACCTGATCTGCAGTACAGTATTGCAAGACTTGTACACCAATGGACTTTCAGGAATGTATATTTTGACTGGACAATGTCTACAATGTAGCTAGACAACATATAACTGTTTTTTTCTATTCCAAGAAGACACATTTACAACTCAACACCTGGTTGACAAGTGTCAGATGAAAGTTCCCAGGTAAGACATCATAACTTTATAGCCCGGTATTTCATTTTTGGACCATACTTTTTATTTTTAACGTTATGTTGTTAATACTAAAGGTACTGCATTGAAACTTTCAGGTCTTAGAGGCAATAGGATTAAGTTATAATACTGAATTGGGGATTTTTTCCTTATGACTGGCTAAGTTGAAGTTCTTATGCTTTTTTGTTCTTTCCCCTTTTTGCCTTAATGTTGTTAAATGTATTTAATATTTCAGAGGTGAACACAAAGAGAAAGAGGAAGAAGATGAAGAGGACAGGATTGACTTCAAATCTAAACTTGGTAAAGACTAAATATATGGAAATATTTCTTAGTTTGTTTATAAGTTTGATGTCTTTTTATTTTGAAATATGACCAGTTTTATGTTCTGACATAAAGAGCCAAGCTGAATTGAAAGATTTCAATAAACTTTGCCAGTATGTTATCAGTGACAAATTTTTATGATCTCCAACTTTTTTTGTAGCACCAGTTGGTGTTTGGCATTCAGCATTTGTAACAGATGATAGATGGTGACATTTTGCATGTTCATGCCTTGCCTATTGTTGACAAAAAGAGTAACAAACCATTGCTTTCTTTACCACTAGGACGCAGTATCTACAGAGTTGTGTTCAAGAAGAACTTACCTGAGAGGAATGAACTGTTCCTGCCCCACAGAATGGCCTATGTAGTAGACCTTGATGATGAATATATAGATTCTGATATTCCAACCACTATGATCCGCAGCAAAGCAGATTGTCCTACTTTGGAGGTAAGATTAAATTTTTTTTTTTTTTTTATTAAGTTATTCATTTGTACAAAGAATACAATACAAAAATACAGTGTTAGTGGCTGTGCTTTTAGCATTATTAGCCACGTTCTACAATTACAATATACAATGTATTCAATCAATACTATTGATTAAAATAAATGAGATACAATAAGATAAAAATTGTTTTGTGGAGGATTTCAGACATTTACACATCTCTCGAAGAAAATGGCACTGCACTTTAAAACAATCAGATTCTCAGCTCTACTTAATGTTTTATCACCATTGAGGATCAGAGAAAGTTTATCACGTTGTGTCTTATATTTACGGGAGTATTGTATATTCATATTTTTTAAGATTAAATGACTGAGATCAAATTGAATATGAAACTGATTTGTTCAAGATTATCATCTGTACTCTCTGAAGGCATTGTTTCCATTGTGCTGCTCCTAATTTTCATTGTTGAATGCTGATATCACCAGTGTCCCACAGAAAATAACACAGTTACTATACCCCTCACATGCTACCTCTTTATAAAGGCTGAATTGCTTGAAATGAAAGTGAAAGTGTTAATAGCTCAGGTGCATTAATTGAAAAGCTTGAAACGGCAATACAAGCGCAAGCAGTGAAACTGTAATTCCATTTTTCCAAGACGTAGCGATTGAAATGATTGAATCGGTTGAATAGCCTGGGTGAAATGCTTGAAACAAGAAATTTTCATGTTTCTTTTTCTTTTCAATCGTTTTGCTCGTTTCTTCCTGAATTGGTTGTATGATGGAAATGGCGAAACATGCACAAACAGTGAAAATTTCATTTCTAAGGTGAATCAATTGAAATAATTGAAATGCTCGAAATGACGCAAGCATTGAGACAGAGGATGCATGCATTGAAATGATTGAAATGCAATTTACGGTGTATACAGTAGAGATAGTCCTTACCTTATACATTACTTCACTAAAGTATTCAACAGGGAAAATGACTAATAAATCATAAGTACCTAAATATCTTGATTGTGTCATTGTGACAGGCTAGATTTAATATGAGAGTAATTTGACCATGTCAGCTTCATTATTGTTCTGTGCTTCATTGTCCTTTATTCTATGTATTTCCAGAACACCACTACACTCAGTACTAATGACATTGTGATCAACAAGCTCACACAGATTCTCTCCTATCTTAGGCAAGGAAGGAGGGATAGGAAGCACAAGAAAAAAGAAAAAGGTACACAACAAATTATGTTAAAGAATATGTGAGACAATTAATGAACACATAAAATAGAAAATAAGTAAGAAACTCTTTGTTGAGGAGAGTTTGAAAATGTATTCCTCTAGTTCCTATTAGGAGGCCTTTTCATTTGTTTTTCCTTTGGGTGGTCTTTGATTTGTTAGTTCAAGGTTCTGTGTCTGTGACAAATTCTTACAACTTTGTGTGCCAATGTTTTGGCAATGTAATCTTGTCTGTGAAGTCTTGTCTACGCGTTTTTAGGTGAACCTTTGGTAGATCAATTTCAAATTTTCAGGGATGATTCTTAGTATGAAAATCTAGATCTGATTTAGTTTTTTGGCATTTTGGGTAAATGTCAAGGCAGCCATTTTGGATTTTCCGTTCTAAAATCTTGCCTGTAAAGTCTTTTCTATGGGTTTTCAGGTGATTCGTTTGGTAGATCAATTTCAAATTTTCAGGGATGACTCCTTGTATTAAAATCTAGAACTGATTAGTTTTTTGGCATTCTGGATAATATGTCAAGGCAGCCATTTTGGATTTTCTGTCCTAAAATCTTGTCTGTAAAGTCTTGTCTACAAATTTTCAGGTAAACCGTTTGGTAGATCAATTTCAAATTTTCAGGGATGATTCTTAGTGTGAAAATCTAGAACTGAATAGTTTTCTGGCATTCTGGGCAAATTTTGTCTGTGAAGTCTTGTTTATGCGTTTTCTGGTTTACTGTTTGACGGATCAATTTCAAATTTTCAGGGTTGGTTCTTAGTATGAAAATCTAGAGCTGACTAATTTTTGGCATTCTGGGTAAATTTTAAGGTGGCCATTTTGCATTTTCCGTCCCAAAATTGTAACGGTAAAGTCTTGTCTACTCAATTTTAGGATAACCATTTGATGGGATCACCCATTGGTGGGGACATATTGTACACATTTGTGTTCTTGTTTTCCTTGAAATGGTCTTTTACTTATTTTTTTAGCTGCTGCTGCTGCAAGGTTAAAGGAAGAAAGTAAACAGAAGGAGAAACTCCCAGGTGCTGATGACAAGTAAGAATAGAATTAGATTATGTCATGTCTTGAAATGCACAACATAGTGGAATAGGAAGAAATAAACAAGGAATAAACTGGCACGTAGTCAACAATGTAAAATAAATTTCTAATGCAGTTAATCCTGTGTATGTGAGTTGCCTTTGGTTGCTTAGAAACAGGCCTTTTCACTTAAAGAGGTGTTCACTTTACAGGTTTTACAGTATTCAAGAATGATGTATTTTGTAATTGTTGTCAAAAGTTATCATAACATCCACTCCTAGAATAATTGATTGAATTTGATTTTGTTTATAAAATCCTGATTTTAATGAGGATAAAAAGATGAATCTCTTGGGAGACTCATGATTTGTTAACGTCCACTTGTGTCCTGACAGTGATGTTCTTAGAATGAATATCTGTCATTTTAAACTCGTATATTTATCCATATTGTCAAAGGAGAAACAGAAATGATCCAAAATAAAGAGAAAACTTAGAGAAACCTTTGTAAAGTTGAGAATCCAGAAGTTCATAGTTCTCTTGCTGTGAGACCATTATATCCATTGTTACAACAATACATTGACATGTAGATTCATGAAATTTCTGTTAATCCCTGTTTATCAATTTTGAAGAATCTTCCATTATAATTTAAAATCACATTTTGTTGCAATGAATATATTCTTGTTTCACCATCAAAAGTGTTGACATATTGTTATAGTCTCTTATTTTTTGTGAATGGTGGTTGGTGTTTGGCATTCGGCGATCAACATCTGTAACAAATGGAACAAGTGGTGATATTTTGCATCTTGATGCCTTTTTATTGTATATTTATTTTTGCATTGTAGCATTTATGGAGATGTAGATGACTATGTACCAAGTTATAAAGAGAAAGATAGAAGAAAAGGGGATGACCGTTATGACAGAGGTCGCGATGACAGGAAGTACCGTGATAGAGACTCGGATCGCCACAGAGATCGTGATAGAGATAGGCACAGGGAAAAGTAAGAGGATTTTATGAACCACATTGTAACTGAATATTTTGAGATGTTTCTGCAATGCCTTTTGGCTGACATGCTAATTTTAAGAAATTGCCCACTTAGGTCTGTTCATCCATCTGTCCATTATACTTTTCAGACAAATGAAACTGTTATTCTTCCAAACTAATTCTCACTGGTAATTTCATTGATTTTGCTTAATGCTAATCGGAGAAGAGAAATCAAAATTGATATCTCAATGTGGTCCTTATTTTTGATAAAACACACTCACTTTCCAATAACGATCAACTTAGTTCATGTGATCTGATGAAATTGAAATCGAATGATCCGATATTAACTGAGTTTATACTCAGATACATGGAATAACATGACTGACTATGTGTGTTAGTCCAGATTATAATATTATCTATTTCTTTAACTTTTCAGAGACCGTGAACGTCACAGAGACAGAAGAGACCGTGATAGAGATCGTCATGGAGACAAAGAGAAGAAACGCACTTACTTTGAACGACCAGTTGATGAGGTATGAAATCAAATATTTCCTAGTTATCTATCAATATATTACATATTGATTGATGACTTGACATGGTGAATATAATAAGGATTTCATCATCAAAAATCTAATGTAGAGAGTATTGGATTCTAAACTTTTGGTCCCTTATTCATATAGTCTTAGTTATAATGCAGACATTGTGAATATCTTGATTGTAATGCTATTTTTGTTTATATCACTAAAAGAGCATTTGATTCTAAACTTTTGGTCCCTTATTCATATAGTCTTAGTTATAATGCAGACATGGTGAATATCTTGATTGTAATGCTATTTTTGTTTATGTCACTAAAAGAACATTTGATTCTAAACTTTTGGTCCCTTATTCATATAGTCTTAGTTATAGTGCAGACATGGTGAATATCTTGATTATAATGCTATTTTTGTTTATATCACTAAAAGAGAATTTGATTCTAAACTTTTGGTCCCTTATTCATATAGTCTTAGTTATAATGCAGACATTGTGAATATCTTGATTATAATGCTATTTTTGTTTATATCACTAAAAGAGCATTTGATTCTAAACTTTTGGTCCCTTATTCATATAGTCTTAGTTATAATGCAGACATTGTGAATATCTTGATTGTAATGCTATTTTTGTGTATGTCACTAAAAGAACATTTGATTCTAGACTTTTGGTCCCTTATTCATATAGTCTTAGTTATAATGCAGACATTGTGAATATCTTGATTATAATGCTATTTTTGTTTATATCACTAAAAGAGCATTTGATTCTAAACTTTTGGTCCCTTATTCATATAGTCTTAGTTATAATGCAGACATTGTGAATATCTTGATTATAATGCTATTTTTGTTTATGTCACTAAAAGAACATTTGATTCTAAACTTTTGGTCCCTTAGTTATAATGCAGACATGGTGAATATCTTGATTATAATGCTATTTTTGTTTATATCACTAAAAGAGCATTTGATTCTAAACTTTTGATCCCTTATTCATATAGTCTTAGTTATAATGCAGACATTGTGAATATCTTGATTATAATGCTATTTTTGTTAATGTCACTAAAAGAACATTTGATTCTAAACTTTTGGTCCCTTATTCATATAGTCTTAGTTATAATGCAGACATTGTGAATATCTTGATTATAATGCTATTTTTGTTTATATCACTAAAAGAACATTTGATTCTAAACTTTTGGTCCCTTATTCATATAGTCTTAGTTATAATGCAGACATTGTGAATATCTTGATTGTAATGCTATTTTTGTTTATATCACTAAAAGAGCATTTGATTCTAAACTTTTGGTCCCTTATTCATATAGTCTTAGTTATAATGCAGACATTGTGAATATCTTGATTATAATGCTATTTTTGTTTATATCACTAAAAGAGCATTTGATTCTAAACTTTTGGTCCCTTATTCATATAGTCTTAGTTATAATGCAGACATTGTGAATATCTTGATTGTAATGCTATTTTTGTGTATGTCACTAAAAGAACATTTGATTCTAAACTTTTGGTCTCTTATTCATATAGTCTTAGTTATAATGCAGACATTGTGAATATCTTGATTATAATGCTATTTTTGTTTATATCACTAAAAGAGCATTTGATTCTAAACTTTTGGTCCCTTATTCATATAGACTTAGTTATAATGCAGACATTGTGAATATCTTGATTATAATGCTATTTTTGTTTATGTCACTAAAAGAACATTTGATTCTAAAGGCCCGGTCACACCGCCTAAACGTTGCTGGAGCGTTCCTTGAACGTTGAAAAAAATCATCAACGCTCGTAAACGTTCACCATCGTTTAACAAAAGTTGGCATCCGTTAAAGCAACGCTGTAAACGCTCGGCCAACGCGGATGTTTCTCGAGTGGCCATCCTAACGCTCCAAAAGTTTTGAGCTGCTCAAAATATTGCGAGCGTTGAAAAGGGACAATTTTACGCCCTGGCAAAGTTTATCACCGCTCCACCAACGCCCAGTCAAAGTTTGGCACCGCTAGACGCAAGTTCGTGGACGCTTTAATCCACTAGACCAACGCAGAAATCTTAAACGCTGGACCACCGCCGCTTCGCCAGCGTTGCCCGGGCGGCGATTAAACGTTGCACAAACGTCGGTGGAGCGGTTGTTAGCGTTTTATCAGCGTACATGGGGTTGTTGGAACGGTGTCGGACGTTGTCGCAGCGCTCCATGGAGGCGATGAACTTTGCTTTGGCGTTGGTATAGAGGTGTCGGAGCGGGACCAGAATTTGGCTATAAATACGTGGAGAAATGCACCACTGTGTAGAACACTGTGGAGACACTTGTGCATTTTACATTTGATATATATTCATGTCTGGCATTTCAATTTTTTGCATTGTAAATTCCTTAATTGAGCGCTCAAAGTTTGTGATTTTGGATTTTAAAAAGGTGAATTATGCGATTTTTGTTTTTCATTAAATGTTAATACAAATAGACTTTTACTGAGACCTTTATTCAAATATAGTATATACCTAGTGTTTTCACGTCAAGCAATTCAATAAATTATCTGTGAATTTTCTGCGCAGCTTGTAAAATGTTGCACTTGTCATGGTATTATACAAAAAGTTGATGCTCGCACAGCAATGCAAAAATTTGTCATGCGTCATGATTATTACTTTGCTGTAAATGTTATTTGACATTGCTAAAGCAATTTGAACGTAAATCGGTTCCAAGTAATGGAAATGCAACGATTAAATTGTGATATGTTTGTTTGAAATGATATGAGAGATTATTAAAGAAAATTGTAATGTTATTCATTCTTAATGTCATATTACATTAATACGAAGCACTTTAGATTTAAAACATTTCTTCTTTAATCCTTGAAGGACTTTTGTTAAAGTTACAAATTCCAATAAAGGTCTTTACTCTTAAACACTTCCCACTTGAAATAATTTCCCAGTAGTCAAACGCGATATGCTGCTAAACCAACGCTGCTGCTATTTATACCCCCGCCGAGGCAACGCTCTCATGCGCAGAACGCCGCTATACCAACGCTCGCATTACCGCTAAACAAATGCTAGCTACAGCTCGCAACCGCTTAACCAACGCTAAAGCAACGCCGGCTTCAGCAGTGCACCGCTAAGCCAACGCCCGTGTTTTTGTTTTTTTCCCCATTTTGTGCGCGTTGACGAGCGTTGATGAATTTTTTCAACATTCAAGGAACGCTCCAGCAACATCCGGGCGGTGTGACCGGGCCTTAAACTTTTGGTCCCTTAGTTATAATGCAGACATGGTGAATATCTTGATTATAATGCTATTTTTGTGTATGTCACTAAAAGAGCATTTGATTCTAAACTTTTGGTCCCTTATTCATATAGACTTAGTTATAATGCAGACATTGTGAATATCTTGATTATAATGCTATTTTTGTTTATATCACTAAAAGAGCATTTGATTCTAAACTTTTGGTCCCTTATTCATATAGTCTTAGTTATAATGCAGACATTGTGAATATCTTGATTGTAATGCTATTTTTGTGTATGTCACTAAAAGAACATTTGATTCTAAACTTTTGGTCCCTTATTCATATAGTCTTAGTTATAATGCAGACATGGTGAATATCTTGATTATAATGCTATTTTTGTTTATATCACTAAAAGAGCATTTGATTCTAAACTTTTGGTCCCTTATTCATATAGTCTTAGTTATAATGCAGACATGGTGAATATCTTGATTATAATGCTATTTTTGTTTATATCACTAAAAGAGCATTTGATTCTAAACTTTTCGTCCCTTATTCATATAGTCTTAGTTATAATGCAGACATTGTGAATATCTTGATTATAATGCTATTTTTGTTTATATCACTAAAAGAGCATTTGATTCTAAACTTTTGGTCCCTTATTCATATAGTCTTAGTTATAATGCAGACATTGTGAATATCTTGATTGTAATGCTATTTTTGTGTATGTCACTAAAAGAACATTTGATTCTAAACTTTTGGTCCCTTATTCATATAGTCTTAGTTATAATGCAGACATTGTGAATATCTTGATTATAATGCTATTTTTGTTTATATCACTAAAAGAGCATTTGATTCTAAACTTTTGGTCCCTTATTCATATAGTCTTAGTTATAATGCAGACATTGTGAATATCTTGATTGTAATGCTATTTTTGTTTATATCACTAAAAGAGCATTTGATTCTAAACTTTTGGTCCCTTATTCATATAGTCTTAGTTATAATGCAGACATTGTGAATATCTTGATTATAATGCTATTTTTGTTTATATCACTAAAAGAGCATTTGATTCTAAACTTTTGGTCCCTTATTCATATAGTCTTAGTTATAATGCAGACATTGTGAATATCTTGATTGTAATGCTATTTTTGTGTATGTCACTAAAAGAACATTTGATTCTAGACTTTTGGTCCCTTATTCATATAGTCTTAGTTATAATGCAGACATTGTGAATATCTTGATTATAATGCTATTTTGTCCCTGTTAGGATGAGGAGAGAGATAGGCAGCCACAAGCCTCTGCCAAGGACTTTGTGCAAAACATCAATGAAAAATATAAGGTAGGTTCTATTTAATGTATGTTTTGTTATCATCTATACCAAGATAAATATTGTAAATATAATATTTAATGCTTTATTCAATGAATTTGCTCTGCTCAGCTTACTTTTGAAAATCCTTGTGAAATGTTTTTGTTATAAATCTTTGAATGTCATATCAGCCAAGTTTATATTTAAAATAAATACTTTGAAAGGATACAATGGGACAGAGAAAGACGCTTTAATCTATTGTATATTTCAAGCCTGGAGACTGAAAGACACTCTTTAATCTATTGAATATTTTCGGCTTGGGGACTGAGCGCTTCTTGTATGTATATTGTATATTTCATTGCTAGAGAGAGAGAGACACTCTTTAATCTACTGTATATTTTAGGCCTGGGACAGAGAGTTTATGAAATGTATTGCATATTTTCCGGGCTTGTTTCAGAAGGTTTCTTATACTGGTGATAGAGAGTTTTTTGTATGTACTGTATATTTCAGGGCTGGTGGCAGAGCCTTTCTTAAATGTGTTGTGCTACAACTCTAATCTATTGTGTATTTCAGGGTTAGTGGCAGAGCCTTTCTTAAATGTGTTGTGCTATAACTCTTATCTATTGTGTATTTCAGGGCTGGTGGCAGAGCCTTTCTTAAATGTGTTGTGCTATAACTCTAATCTATTGTATATTTCAGGGCTGGTGGCAGAGCCTTTCTTAAATGTGTTGTGCTATAACTCTAATCTATTGTATATTTCAGGGCTGGTGGCAGAGCCTTTCTTAAATGTGTTGTGCTATAACTCTAATCTATTGTGTATTTCAGGGCTGGTGGCAGAGCCTTTCTTAAATGTGTTGTGCTATAACTCTAATCTATTGTATATTTCAGTTCTGGTGGCAGAGCCTTTCTTAAATGTGTTGTGCTATAACTCTAATCTATTGTATATTTCAGGGCTGGTGGCAGAGCCTTTCTTAAATGTGTTGTGCTATAACTCTAATCTATTGTATATTTCAGGGCTAGTGGCAGAGCCTTTCTTAAATGTGTTGTGCTATAACTCTAATCTATTGTACATTTCAGGGCTGGTGGCAGAGCCTTTCTTAAATGTGTTGTGCTATAACTCTAATCTATTGTATATTTCAGGGCTGGTGGCAGAGCCTTTCTTAAATGTGTTGTGCTATAACTCTAATCTATTGTATATTTCAGGGCTAGTGGCAGAGCCTTTCTTAAATGTGTTGTGCTATAACTCTAATCTATTGTATATTTCAGGGCTGGTGGCAGAGCCTTTCTTAAATGTGTTGTGCTATAACTCTAATCTATTGTATATTTAAGGGCTGGGGCCAAGATGAGGCAAAAGAAAGAAAGAAGGAGGATGAAAGAAACAAGAAGTTAAAGAAGAAAGTAGAAGTTGACAGCTATGCTGAATGTTACCCAGGGTAAGTAAAATACATGTCTACAATTTAAGATATTAGTAGAATTGGGCAAACAATAAAGGAACTAAGGCATTCTTTTCATAAAACATTTCTCATAAAGTCCCAAGTCTTACTATATGATATTGTTTTAAATGGTTAAAACACTGGATTCACAAAATGTTAATAAGAGGAAGACTCCATGTATAGCAGCCTAGTACAGATAAGGAAGAATATCTGGACACTTTCTATTCCCACTCTAATGTGTAATATAAGTTATTGAATGATTTGAAGTGCAATACAGGATATATTCTGCTCGAGAATTCCGTATTGGAACGAGACGAAGTCGAGTGCCAGTACAGAATATCGAGACAGAATATATCCTGTATTGCACTTCAAATCGATCAATAACGTTGTTATCGTGTGATCCTCTGTATTGCTACTGAGATTTCCCCTCCCAGATGATCAACGGGGACAATCTCAGTAGCAATACAGGTGGGTACAGCACAAGAACTGACCAATCAGAGGGCTTTATTTTACAGATCATACGATAATAATGAATACCATTAATACAACTTGTATGTCTATTCTAGTATGTCTGAGATGGCTGATGCCCTTGATGACTCCGATGATGAGGCTGATTATACCAAGATGGACATGGGAAACAAGAAAGGCCCAATTGGTCGTTGGGACTTTGAGACTCAGGAGGACTACAGTGACTATATGTCCAACAAAGAAGCCCTGCCTAAGTATGTCATCTTTATTATCTTAACCCTTATATTCCCCATTCATCCCTGCATTAACACTGCTACTTCACTCGATTACTACAGGGTGACCCAAAAAAAATGCAACCCTCCATTTCTTCGATATTTTTCTTAAATGGAAGTAAATTGCTCTGAGATTTGGCACACAAGGACTTCATTCAATGTGGGATCCTCTGGCAAAGTATTAATAATCATAGTCTTATATTGATAGAGTTATGGTTGTCCTACGAAAATGTCCTAAAACGGGCTCAATCTGGCTGCGGTCGGGATATATGTCTTAATAATTAGCTACTTCGTTCATAAACAGTCTTCAATACGTCCATCTCATTCGCAGTTCTGTCAGGTTGTACCACGTCGGTGTGCAACGTCGTATAACGCGTCCCTTAGTCTAGAAGGTCATCATGACCTGATTACAGAACGGTATGGTCGCCATCGAATTTTGAATGGATTCAAAATTCTAAATCACATACTCCGCCCGGGAAAGTCCATGAAGTTCGTAAACAGATTGTAGAACGTTGTAGCTACGTTCATTCAGTTCGCACACAGTTTAAAACCGATTCGGCAACGTTTTGACAATCACCAGAAAATTTTGAGCATGCTCTAAGTGCTGGAGGACCTACTCGTTCTAGTAGTTTCATGAAGTTTGTGAACAGATCCCAATCGGTTCTTAGTGGGTTCTTAGTACGTCAAATCCGTTCGTGCACAGTTTAAGCCCGTTTTCGAGAACGTAGTGAGAACTAGTTTGGTGTGATAGTAGGGTTACCCAGACGGAACTTCAGAAATGGTTACGTACCAATAGTGAAGCCATAAGAAACCCTCTGCCAATCATGATAAGAGTAACCGCCCTATCACAATCACACCAAACTAGTTTTACCTGTTCTTGCCAGTCCTACGAAAACGTCGTAAAATGGGCTCAATCTAGCTGTGGTCGGAAAATATGTCTAAAATAATTAGCTACTTCGTTCATAAACAGTCTTCAATACGTCCATCTCATTCGCAGTTCGTTCAGGTCGCACCACGTCGGTGTGCAACGTCGTATAACGCGTCCCTTAGTCTAGAAGGTCATCATGACCTGATTACAGAACGGTATGCTCGTCATCGAATTTTGAATCATTTCAAAATTCTAAAATCACCTTCCCGTCTGAGAACGTTCATGAAGCTCGTAAATAGTCCTTAAAAAGTTGCAGCTACGTTCATTCCGTTCGTACACAGTCTAAAACCGGTTTTGAAGAACGCAGTGGCAACTTGTTTGGTGTGATAGCTATATTTTTGCTAACTCGTTCATAAGCAGTCTTTGATACGTTCTTAATCATTTTAAATCAGTTTGGAATTAGTTCTACCTCGTTCTCAATCCGTCCTCAGATAGTTCAACTCGTTGTAAAAACGTCCCTAGTAGGATTGAAGTACGACGGTTCCGTTCGTAGTACGTCCAGTTCGTTGTTAGTACGTTGTCACTCGTTCTAATTGTAAAACGTGACGACCTAGAGAGCATTTTGAGCATGTTCTAAGTTCTAGAGGACCTACCCGTTCAAGTACGTTCGACGAAGTTTGTAAATAGACCCCAAACGGTTCTAAGTACGTCCAGTCCGTTCGCACACAGTTGAAGCCCGTTTTCGAGAACGTAGTGAGAACTAGTTTGGTGTGATAGTAGGGTTAGAAAATATCGAAAATTGTAATGTCTGAAAAACCAACTCCATCAAACTTATTATTAAACCTTAACTCTTCTGAGAGCCCAAAAATATCTATTAGTACGTATCAGATAAATGAAGAATATTGGCATCAAAGCAATATGCAAATACTATACAAATAGTTTGAAACATATCCTCACATGTTGATTTAATGTCATCAATGAGGATAAAAAGGTTAATCTGACGGGAGACTCGTGACATGTGAATGTTCACTTGAGTCCAGAGTGATGCTCTAAGAATGGATATCTGAGATGACAGAAATAGGACTATTTAGAGGTATTTAGAGATAGATCCTTAACCCCCGTCTCCTCATTTTACGTAGATTATTATGTGCTTATATCAAAACCATTACAATATGTTTGTATTTTCAGGGCTGCTTTCCAATATGGGGTCAAGATGGCTGATGGGCGAAAGACTCGTCGCGCTGGTCCAAAAGACCAAAAACAAGCACTGGATCGAGAATGGCAGCAGATCCAGAATTTGATAAAGAAACGCAAGGATATGGGAGAAGGAGGGGGATCGAAGAAAATACCCAAATATTGATTTGCCTGTAAACTCAAGACTATTTGAAAATCTTGAGAGGGAAAACATTTTGAGATAAAGATATACATGATAACCTGTCCCATATCCATTCTCTATTGATAAGATCATGATAAAATATCTTAGACGCGAGTAGAAATAATCTTGATTTACGTCATTAAAAATTCACAATTCAGTCAAACTGGTATCATATTTGGAATCTGCATGTAGAATTACATCTAGAAATGTGGTTTTGAAAAGAGTTTATCAACTTTGAAAATATAATTTTCTTTGAAAATGTGACTTCTAGGTCGGGGAGATTCCCCATAGACCCCATGTTGTAAAACCACAAATAGTGAAATATCTGTTCTTGTGTTGGGCAGATAATATTTTCTTTTATAACTGGACATATTTTAATTTGTATAACTATCACATACATAAGGGTAATATGAAAAGTGAACCACTAAAACTGATGAATATTTTGTAATACCCTGCCATGTTATTTCCCCCGAATCAGCCACCTGATGGGGAAACTGGTAACTACCTACTCGCATCTGAGTAATTAAGGAGGGGGAAGGAAGATATCATGTAGCTCTCCTTAAGGAGGTCCAACCATTTATTTTAGACTTATTCACAAAGGATCGAGAGGGCAACACAACAGGTTGATGCAACACTATTTAATCTAGGATATGAAACTTTGCAACGTTGCAATAATTGCAAAAATAAATCGCAGATAAGATTTTACTTTACTGATTGCTGTATACTAGTATGCAATTCAGACGTATTTGTGTATGATTTTGAAATAAAATGAACAATCTGAATTGACTTGCAACAATGGACATATGTAATCTTGTAATATTTTGAATAAAGTAATGAATGTAGAGATTGTGTTTTGGTTTCATTCAAAAGCTCCATATTGTGTTATCTTCCATTCATTAATATGTGTCAGTATGTTCTTCGTGCTAGAGCACATGTGAAGGTATCTACGATTTCGTAGTTGAACTCCCAAGTTTTGCTTCTGAGTTGGTTTAGATTTATCCAGAATATGAATATTCAATTCAAGTTATTACAAGTTTATTCTTTAAAACAATAGATTAAATAAATGTCTGTTTATCAAACACTGTAGTTCCTCATAAAAAATTCATAATTTCCAACCAATCGATGTATTATTACAGTTTCCAATGTAAAATAGAGTCCAATTGGCCGAAGTAATTCTCCAACTGATTGCACCGAGTAGCACATGCATTAATTGAAAATGAGGCCGTGTTTCGATATTTATCCAATGGAAATGTGAATGTTTATGACTCACCAGGACAAAAAGTTTATATACTAGGAGAAAGTGTCGATAAGAGAATAAAAATTCCCATTCGAAAGAGGCACGACGAGCCAACGGCCGACTCGGTTATAATCGCAGTTCACAAAACTCGGTTGTAACCCATATAACATTAGGGCAGCCGCAAGTCGAACATACTCCCGTCGTACGGGCACCATGATACCTTTCTATGGTTTGGCTACGACTTGATTATATGGTGACTGTGGAAATGAAAACAGTAACTTATAACCCCGAGTTATAATTTCTATGTTAATTCTACTGCCGTATTGTCTGATGATTTACGGTTGCATTAGGGCGTCCCTGCGTTGGCTGTAGGACAAATACCAAGGTAGAAGTAGTGCGGCGCAGGTGGACCAGACGTTGACAGTTAGGTGACCGTTAGGCCAGTCCAAACCCACATTACGTACGACGTGGTTAAAAAAGAATTTGCAAATTTCACCGATCTACGGTCGATGTACGGTCGTCGTAGAGAAAATGTGACTGAGACTTGAGCAGTCACATGTGCTACGGCAGCCGTAAGGACGACGTGCGTTTGAAGTAATGACGCGCAGGCGTCTCTGAAGCGGGCGTAGGTGTTTGACAAATACCAAGGAAACTACAGGGGACCGTACGTTGACCATGGACCCTAATGACAGTCTGACGCTACGGTTTGTCTATCTACGGCGACCGTAGAAGTGAAAAAAGAAAAAGTGAAAAAACTGCTATAAACTCTACGGTGACCCCATGGGGCCTTGAAATCTTACGGCAATAGGACTTCCATGGTCGCATAGCCTAATATAATAGTCACATTTGCTTGCGCCCATTAGGCGTATATTGAATTTATGCAGACAGAAAACCTGCGACTGCCGTACTGTCTGATGATATACGGTTGCATTAGGGCGTCCCTGCGTTGGCTGTAGGACAAATACCAAGGTAGACGTAGTGCGGCCGCAGGTGGACCAGACGTTGACAGGTGACCGTTAGGCCAGTCTAATATGGCTGGCCGTCTGGACCAATGTATCGTATGGCTGGCCATCTGGACCAATGTATCGTCATACTTTTAACGCCGTAAAATCTACTTTTAACGCCGTAAAAACGATTTCATACGCCGTGCGTAAAGAATTACTTTTAACTCCGTCAAAACGCCGTTAAAAATTATTTTTTTACGCCGTTAAAAATTATTTTTACGCCGTTAATAATTATGTACGGCGTTAAAAATCATTTTGAACGGCGTCAAAACTGATTTTTTACGCCGTTATAAATTGTTTTTTACGCCGTTGATAATTATGTACGGCGTTAAAAATCATTTTGAACGGCGTCAAAACTGATATTTTACGCCGTTAAAAATCATTTTGAACGGCGTCAAAACTGATTTTTTTACGCCGTTAAAAAAAATTAATTTTTACGCCGTTAACAATTATTTTGAACGGCGTAAAAAATGATTTTGGACGGCGTAAAAATTATTTTGCATAACCAATCAAAACTATCTTTTCAAACAGCCAGCTGGATGACATCAAGTACGTTGTTTACCGTTGCCCCATTGTCAGTAATTTCACTATCAGCCATTTTTCATTTTACCCCTTCGAAATTGCGAACGTACATTGTTAATCATTTGCGAAAAAACGAACAATGAAAACTCATGTATATCAAATTCCCGGGACAGTTGTAGTCTTCCATACAACCAAATGCGTCTGGCAAATAAAAATGCCAATATAAATGTGACATACATTAACAGAAAAATAGGTTTTTGATTAATATAAGTTAATAAGTTCGATAAGTCGAACATACACGTTCGTTTGTTCAATGAATACACAGATTGTAACGCTGGTTTTAATTAGCTGCCAGCTAAGACGTAATTTACGTGTCACATTACAATTCTTGACGCGTTCAAAATCATTTTTGACGCCGTTCAAAATGCTTTTTTTACGCTTGGTTAAAAGTAAGGACGTATAAAATCGTTTTTGACGCCGTTCAAAATAAATTTTGGACGGCGTTCAAAAGTTATTTTTTTAATACCGACTGATTGATATAAATCCAAACCCCTATTTTTCTGTTAATGTATGTCACATTTATCATTTATATTGGCATTTCTATTTGCCAGACGCATTTGGTTGTATGGAAGACTACAACTGTCCCGGGAATTTGATATACATCGAGTTTTCATTGTTCGTTTTTCGCAAATGATTAACAATGTACCTTCGCAATATCGAAGGGGTAAAATGAAAAATTGCTGATCGTGAAATTACTGAAAATGGGGCACAGTTAACAACGTACTTGATTGTCATCCAGCTGGCTGTTAGAAAAGATTGTTTTGATTGGTTGTGCAAAATCATTCTTTTACGCCGTCCAAAATCATTTATTACGCCGTTCAAAATATTTTTTAACGGCGTAAAAAAACAATTTTGACACCGTAATCAGTTTTGACGCCGTTCAAAATGATTTTTAACGCCGTACATAATTATTAACGGCGTAAAAATAATTTTTAACGGCGTAAAAAAAAATTTTAACGGCGTAAAAAAAATCAGTTTTGACGGCGTAAAAAAATCAGTTTTAACGGCGTAAAAATCAGTTTTGACGGCGTACAAAGTCGTTCAAAATGATTTTTAACGCCGTACATAATTATTAACAGCGTAAAAATATTTTTTGACGGCGTAAAAAATCAGTTTTGACGGCGTAAATAATCAGTTTTAACGGCGTAAAAAATCAGTTTTGACGGCGTACAAAATCGTTTTTAACGGCGTTAAAAGTAATTCTTTACGGCGTATGAAATCGTTTTTACGGCGTCAAAAGTAGGTTTTACGGCGTTAAAAGTATAACGATACATTGGTCCAGATGGCCAGCCAGTCTAAAGCCACATTACGTACGACGTGGTTGTCTAATTTATACGGCGACCGAAGTAAGAATAATTCAGCGCTGCAATTCTACGACCACTTTAGGTACGGCCGTCGTACAGCAAATGTAACTGAGGCATAATCGTATGTTGAATACAATATTCCAGTTGGATTTTGGACCTTTTACAGCACGGTGTCCTGATTATGCAATACCACCTGTAAAAACCGGGGTAAATTAGCCAGATCACCCATTCTGATGTAGGCAAACCTTAAGGTAGTTTCGCATCGTATGAATTTCTATGAAATGTTTATGCCTACAAATAATAAATGAAATTGATATCTTCAGGTATGGTAGAATATGGTTAAACACAAAGTCCAAAATCAAAATATTATGTTAAAGTTATTTATTATATTTTTAAACTTGATATTTTTTTATTTTTTCCAAAAGTGCCGAACTCCCTTAACAAAGCAGATAACTTATACTTGGCTTGTCCACACTGAATGTTTATAGCACATTCAACCTTCAAAACATTTTTGATCACTTCATTTAATCTTTTAAAACTAGGTACAAAGTGTACTTGTGTTCAAGTTGAAATACTTACACCCTTGCATTCCCATTATCTGACATGTGTTTTTCACGAGGTGACATATTATTTATTTGATATTTCCTTTAATTAAAAATATCCAAGACCCTAACATATTTACAAAAGTTAGAACCAGCAAGGCTTTGATCTGGCAAGGTAGTGTCATCACTAAAACATATCTTTTATATGCAAGGGACCAAGGTATCGACTTCATCTCGTGATTATGATTAAAAAACGAATGAGGACAGAAATAAACAATTCACATTTTAACATATAAGCCACATCGGTTGTGTTCAATTGTAAATAATTCTTGACTTATTTAAGAGTCGCATTCGAACTGAGTATTGTATTACTGTATTGTTTTTAAGAGAAAGCCGACCGTTCTGTTATGACTCGCTAACCAAAAGTACAATCGGAGGAACGGAGTTGATATCGAGCACTCATTATAAGTAAGTAAGTTATAAGTAAGTTATTGAAAACAAGGTGGGTATATACATGGGCTTTCAACAAGAATTGAAAGCCCATGGTATATGTAGAGCATCTACAAGTACATTACTCATTTTCATGTTATATTGACATATTGTCATAGGGGGGGGGGTGTATAGAGGGTCTTGGAAATGCATATACAATATTTTTCAGCTCTCTTATACCATATACAATATTTTTTCACCCCTTTTATACCATATACAATATTTTTCACAGCTCTTATACCATATACGATATTTTAAGTGAAATACAATATACGATAATTTTGAAACTGCTTTTGATTAAAGTTTGGATATTTATAAGGAAATAATATTATATTAGGACAGAATCCATGTGCTAAAGTAAATGTATTATTATAAGGCAACTAGACTCCACATACATACCACAATGATTTCATTTATTATGTCACCACCAAAAGTGGTGACATATTGTTATGGTCTCCGTTTTTTTGCGACTGCGGTTGGCGTCCGGCGGTTGGTGGTTGGCGTCCGGCGGTTGGCGTCCGGCGTCTGTAACAATTTCTTACAACTTCCTATAACTTAACAAATACTGTTTAGACTGACTTCAATTTTTTTCTAAATCATCTACATGTTCTCAGAAGTTCAAATCTGACTTTAGATTTGACATTTGACCTTCAATGACCTTCTCAAGGTCAAAAAGGTCTTTTTTCAACTTGCTTCACATTGACTAAATTTTTTTTCAAAATCATCTACATGTTCTCAGAAATTCAAATCTGACTTAAGATTTGACATTTGACCTTCAAATCTGACTTTAGATTTGACATTTGACCTTCAATGACCTTCTCAAGGTCAAAAAAGGTCTAAAAGGTCTGTTTTCAACTTGCTTCAAATTGACTAAATTTTTTTTCAAAATCATCTACGTGTTCTCAGAAATTCAAATCTGACTTAAGATTTGACTTAAGATTTGACATTTGACCTTCAATGACCTTCTCAAGGTCAAAAAAGGTCAAAAAGGTATGTTTTCAACTTGCTTCAAATTGACTAATTTTTTTTTTCAAAATCATCTACATGTTCTCAGAAATTCAAATCTGACTTTAGATTTGACATTTGACCTTCAATGACCTTCTCGAAGTAAAAAAAGGTCAAAAAGGTCAAAAAGGTCTTTTTTCAACTTACTTCAAATCGACTAAATTTTTTTTTCAAAATCATCTACATGTTCTCAGAAATTCAAATCTGACTTTAGATTTGACATTTGACCTTCAATGACCTTCTCAATGTCAAAAAAGGTCAAAAAGGTATTTTTTCATCTTGCTTCAAATTGACTAAATTTTTTTTCAAAATCATCTACATGTTCTCAGAAATTCAAATATGACTTTAGATTTGACTTTAGATTTGACATTTGACCTTCAATGACCTTGTCAAGGTCAAAAAAGGTCAAAAAGGTCTTTTTTCAACTTGCTTCAAATTGACTAATTTTTTTTTTCAAAATCATCTACATGTTCTCAGAAATTCAAATCTGACTTTAGATTTGACATTTGACCTTTAATGACCTTCTCAAGGTCAAAAAAGGTCAAAAAGGTCTGTTTTCAACTTGCTTCAAATCGACCAAATTTTTTTTTCAAAATCATCTACATCTTTTCAGAAGTTCAAATTTGACTTTACAAGTTCTCAGAAATTCAAATCTGACTTAAGTTTGAACTCATAATATTGTGAGCAACTAGGTGGTGACATTTTGTCATGTTAATGCCTTGTTACATTATGAATAAGACACCATTCGGGTACATCCGCATGTTCAGAAAAGCTGTGACCACATTTTATTTTCAGGTAAACAAGTTGATTAAAAACACATTTATGATATAAGATTCATGACTTCTCTTTAGTGATTTCACAACCTACTTTGACCAAAAAACTTAACTTTGACATTTCTGCAATTTGCTAAAGCCATTAGCCCATTACCTGTAAAAGTACCAAAAGATATTCAAAATTAGCACAAAACTTGCATCATTGGAATGGATGGAACTCAGCAGTGCTCCTCTTTCTCATGACCTACTTTCCCATGACTTATTTTAATGTCAATGGAATCCTTCATAGTGAGCCAGGGAAAAAATTCTTGAAACATAATTGATGCAAAATTGAGAATGTGGAATAAAAGATTCCTCATGTGTTCTATGAAAATAAAGTTTGCTGCAGAAAATATGTATCAGATAGATAATGAAGATTCACAATGCACAATAATTTTGTAAAGCAGTTACCTGGAAAATATTAAGTATTGAAAACAGTTTCAGAAATAAAAGGACTTCACAAACTTCCATGCAGCCATGTAGATAATTCATTTTTGATCGGACTCGAGTCTGGAAACTAGAGTTTGAAATAAAGGCAAGATGAGACTTAATTGAACATTTGAAACAAGAGACACTTCGGGTTTTCAGATAAGGCAGCCTCAAAGACAGTATAAGTTAAACAAAGGTGTGTCAAAATTAAGCAAATTTCCATGAAGGTCAAACCACATGTTTCACGAATGATTTCAAGGCAAAGATGTATTGATGAGAATGAAAACTACTCTATGTAACTAGAAATAACTTTCTTTTAAAGGACCACGGACGGTATCGCAACAGATTTCAGTCATATATTGGATTTTGGCTATTTTCTGAGGATTTGAACAGGGGCATATGTTAGGCCAATGCATTAACTCCAGGACAAGCAGTCATAGGGATTATAAAATAATTTGGACTTTAAGACAGGGAAGGTGCAAACACCCCATCAACATGTTTTTCTGTAATGTTGTCCTGATATCCAGCCCTTTCCACACCTGTTTTTCAATGTTTGTTGCATCGATCACTCTGTTGCGTTTTGAGACATGGTTAACATCTATGGGAAAATAACATGGGAAATACATGTACTGTTTTCCACTTTATCCCAAATAAATCATATTTTAGAGGTTAACTGTGTCTCAAAGTGCAACATATTGGTGCATCAAACATTGAAAAAACATATGTGGAAAGGGCTGAAAATAAGGACAGCATTTCAGAAAAACCTTCCCTGTCTCAAAGTCCAAATTATTTTATTACCTCTATGAGTGCTTGATCTGGAGTTAATGCATTGGCCTAACATATGCACCTGTTCAGATCCCCAATAAATAGCCGGAATCCAACATATGACAGTTTAAAGACCAAATAAACACCTTTTGCTATATTATGCTATATTAGCATTATGATGCTTATATTAAAACATGCGCTGTATGAACACTTTATACTCAAATATTTTAATGATTTATCCCACATACCCCGAAACACGAGTAGCCATAGTGACCATATTTTACATCAAAGTTAAGATGAGTCAATGACATTTGGCAGTCTCACGCCCGGTGATCTGATGAAATGAATGGAGGGGGAGTAGCTGATTTTCGGTAAATTCAACAAATGTTGAAGATTTATTTTTTCAAGAAAAAGTTTACAATTGAATGGCTAAATGAATAGGTGCAGTGCAAAGGGAAATATGTTAGGTCTTCTTGGATTTTTTTGAACTGATAGAGTTCTAAGATAAAAAATCTATTAAAAAAGGCGCAGAGTGGCCAACATGCAAATGCCAATGTTTTTGCTATAAATCAAGCAACAATGGTCTGCACGACATGAAATAAATATATAAGCGACATTTTTATCACAAAATTAATTGCTGGTTTTTTAAAATAATTTTCCAAAATAGATAAAAAATAATCGAAAATAATTACAATTGAACGGAGGGGGGAGTGAACGGAGGGGGGGGAGTAATATGTCTTTAAGATGGAAGAAATTTCCACAAATTCGTGTACTTGAAAAATGAACTCACTTACTGAGTAACTTGATGTTACAACTCTGAAAGTGAAAAATGGGGACATATGGAGTTATTGGAAGTTTTCATATGTCTTATAGACACATTACTCCCCCTCCCCCTCCGTTCAATTTTAATAATTTTCGATCACTTTTTATATAACGTATGGTAACATGTTTTACAAAACCAATGATGACAATAGTTTTGTGATAATTACTTCACTTACAAGTATTTATTACAGGTCGTGTAGACCCCTGTTGTTTGATTTATAGCAAAAACATTGGCATTTGCACGTTGGCGACGCTGCACTTTTTTAATAGATCTTTTATTTTAGAACTCGACAGTTAAAAAAATCCAAGACTTAACATATTTCCCCATCCACTGCGTCTATTCATTTAGTCATTCAATTGTAAACTTTCTCTTGAAAAAATAAATCTTCAAGATTTGTTGAATTTTCTACCGAAAATCAGCTAGATCTACTCCCCCTCCGTTCATTTCTTCTGATCATCGGGCGTAATTTTTATTTGAGACTATATTTAACACCTCCTGTGAAAATTTAAATGAAATGGCACAAAACTCTTAGTTTGAGAGGGATTTTCTCTAAACGTACAGTATTGATTGACCTGGAATATGGAACCAATTATAGAGACTACTTTTCCATATTTTTCCAACACGGTTACAGTAAGAGAGTTCGCACAATGGGGGAACTTTAGGGTACAATTTCTTCATAATTAGCCTTCTTTTATTCTAGATACCATATTATATTATTATACCATATACCATATTTTTTACACCTCTTATACCTTATACGATAAATTTTGCCCCCTCTTATACAATATACAATAAATTTTCAGCCTCTTATACGATATACAATATCTCTATACACCCCCCGTCATAGCTTTGATCATTTTGTCAACGTTAAATTGGTGTTGACAATTCTTTGGCATCAAAAAGTGCATAAAGATACCTAGATAAATAGTCGAGGATAAGTATAAATGTCAATTTCATGTAAAAAGGAGATAATTCAGTGACCAATATTTTGCGTTTTCTAAATTTTGAAACATAGTAGAAAATGATTTATCCTAAACAAGTAATCTAGGTATATTACTATCTAGGATGAACACTGAAATATGTATGGAATGACTCACGAGTTCCTGAAAATAACATCGAACTCCAATTAAGAAACCACTACATACAGAATTACTTTAATTGATAAACTTATAGGGCTTTTGGAACAATATTTCCACGCCATGACATTTTGTCACGTCCCCGGGGTCACGTCTTGCATACAATCTGGGAAACGCCAAACGTTGTACGATACATTATAAATGTAATTCAATAATTGAAAATGCTAGTTAAATTGCACAGATGTAGGGGAGAAGTACAGTATATCCTGACTTGTTATCCTGACCTCGAAAATCAATCGATCCATAGTTTGATAGTTTCAACGTTATTGGATTCCCCAGTGGCCTTTTGTCATGAATACAAGTATTACAAGTATGGGCATTATAGGTATTTACTTGACCATGTAAAGTAATATCTCAGATTAGATGATGCATTCACATTACGTTAACGTTTATAATTGTACTTGCAGTACAATCATTAGTTGTTGTTTTATGTTATTATTCCAGTTCTAGAGGAAAGTCTGCGGTTCATAAATACCCAATCGTATAAAGGATAACTTCAAAGGACGTCGACAAGTGCAAACAGTATCAACATGGCATCATTCTACTACATTGTACATAGCTGCACAAATACTCTAGGTGAGATCTTGTAATGATTGTGACACTACTATAGCCGAAACAAGGATTCGACAAAGTATGAATAGCATTAACAATAAAATAGATCTGGGATCCATCTTGATAGAACAACTCCAAATCGGAAAATTAGGATTACAATAATTAAGAAATACAATTGCAAGAAATCGTATGATGTAAATGATCAAAAACAGAAAATAATTATTAATGCAGACTGAATGAAGTGGAAAGTATAAAAGGGTATATATTTTCAAAAGGACAATATGGGTAGAAATGATTTCAGCGATTCGACAAAACTGTTAGACAATGATTTACCACCACATGGTCAAGCCAAACGAAATGGTACGATCAAGCAGAACGGCACATACACTAGAGACATTCAGCCATATACATCTTCCGTTGGTAAGTCGATATAATGTAAAATAATATATTAGATTTATATTGGTTGTTTGTGGTCATGCCGCAGCCACGACATCAAAAATACTTAATTTATTTTGCTTTGAAAGTTCAAAGAACTCCCTCATCTGGCCTCATAATATATATAACCATAACTTATGCTTTCTTGTTTTTCTACCAGACAGCGGAACCTGTTGCCCTGTAAATTATCTGTATACAGAACATTGTAACAACTAGAAAAATATCCTGTCTGATATAATAAAACATAATTATGAAAAAGAGAAAAAAGTTAGGGTGAATTGAACAATTCTACAGGGTGTTAAATAAATATGTCCCCCCTCAACTTTGTCTTCCGCATAATGTTGCATAACTTTTTTGTCTGCATGATATCTGTATTGCTCTTTAGCACAATTAAAGTAGACTTCATTGAGCAGCTCTATTACAAGAAGTTTCAGATGTGTAGCTCAACTAGCATGAACATATTTATTTGACACCCTGTATAATCATGGGCATTCAATAGAAAGCCCTTGGTATAATATATTGTCATGCACATTCCGAATGAAATGTCATGTGAGATAAGTTGCATTTATGTGAGCTTCCAGAACAATAAACACTTCACAAACAAACTTTCATATCCTACATTCACACGTACATATTGCAACTAAAATGAACAACTTAAGACAACCAGCGGAGATTATAGTCTTTTCGAATTTCCTATTTTACCATTCACGTCTTTTGACCAAGTTACTTTTAATTTCAGAATTATTTTCTATTCTATTATCCGTTTCGGTATCAAAATGTCGGAACCTCTAAACGATTTTTATTTTTTCCCGGATTTTTTTTTCTAATTTTACGAGTTGTAGGCAGAATCTCCACGACATTTTTATGTGTCAATATCATATGTTAAAGAAAATCTACACGTTTATGAACAAAAATCTTCGAGGTTCCGACATTTTGTTACGGAAACTAATTTGAACCAGTGTAAGTTGTAAGGTTTTTTGTTTACAATTCAGTTGAACTACATGTAGTTTTTAATAATTTAAGTAAGAATCAGTTACCTAAAGTGAAGATTTTCTTCTAGACTGTTCCGATTTTAGAATCACTAATAATATACCAATTTCTGGAAATTCGATCCAAGTAAATACATCATTATTTAAGATATTGACCAGGGCTGTTAGTAAAACTTCAAAATAATGTTATGATATCTGAATATTAATACTTAATATAGATATCATACATTTGCACATCATAGAATCTCTGTATGATACAGTGCACCTTTAACCTTAAGTATTGCACCATGTCCTCGTAATCTCAAACGTGTCGTGTATCCTGCTTTGCACTCCATTCTTGGCACAAATAGATTGCCAGTTATCAAACCAGAAGTAGTGTTAGTACTTGGAGATGTAGAGAGTAGTTAACTTATGATCACAACAAAGTAACCTCCTCATACAGAACTGGACTCGATTTTTTTGTTCCCAGGGCCTATGAAGTATACATGTAGGTATATTAGGTGTATGGATTTTCATGTTTATTCATTTAGGATACAAAACATCAATAATGTTAATGATGTTTGGGAAATAACAACATAATACAAGGATATAAGAATAAATTAGTCCGTACGTTCTACGTGATCGGCATATCTAAAAGTAGGTCACATTTTTCTCCCACATTTTTAGTCTCATAAAATGCAAGGGAGCCATATTAAATGCTAATTTAAATGATGTACTTTACGGGAAGGAGGAGTGGGAAGCAACACTACCAGACCACATTATTTTGGATATCTTTACAAAAGGAGAGTATTCTATATGAACGTTAACCATGTTTTTAACATGTCAACTGTATCTCTAGTTAAATCAATGCCACAATACTGTTCGAAATGTAGTTCATAAATACTTATAAATGAATAATTATATTTTATCGATTTGATTATCTTGCAATTAAAAATGAATTATGTCACCATGGTTTGAAATTAAAGAACTTCAGACTATCTGTTTGAAATATTTTTGATTCGTTGGGAATTAAATCTGTATAGAGTTTAAAATTCTATTGAAAGCCCATGATTATAAATCTGAGTAGTAGAGCGATCATTGCTTGCAATGAAAGACAAGGAAATTGACTGGAAATGGAAATTGAATTTTCAACTTGATTCAAGCTAAACGTGAATAGTTGATATAAATATTTATAGGGTGAACACTACCTGACATTCGATTCAGGTGACTATTTTATAATAGTAGCAGACTAAAGGGCATACGATGTTAGTATTATCTCATAACATTTACAATGGCCTCCACTTCATACTATATAATAAATCTAAGATTCGTATACGTAAGCATTTTACCTATCTGATAACATTTTGTCCTAGTGTATTTCACTTCCTTCCACTATGCAATAAATGAAGCCTTTTGAATGAAGGATGGCTGTGTCATTTACAAGTTTTATAGCTGAGTACATGTATGTTTGGCTTTTAGACTATAGTTCCGAAGTGATTGTAAATTAATTTAAAGCCAAGTTTTGTCATATTTCCAATGTCAAAAACAATCCCTTGATTAAACAAAGATATACAGAGAAACCACTCCAAGTTTGTAAGTTCCTCCATCGATCAATCATTACGTTCAAATAATATTTGTCCCTATTTACTTGCGATATTTAAAGCTTTTGAGTATTTCTTAACCCAATTCTTTAACTGCAATGTATTTTGGCATTTATTGAAGTCAAAACTCATTTATATCAAAAATATGGTAGCTTCATGTACTTTGTTTTTTGTCTTCTTCATAACTTTAGAAGGAAGTGATTCTCTTTCACGGGATAAAATCTTAACATTTTATTTAAGATATAAACCGGATATGTAACAGTTAGCCATTTTGAAAATGTGATCTAAAATGATATGATATGCATTTCGAGAAATGTTAACTTCAAATATTCCACAATAGCTGCCTTATACTTATCTAGTATATCTGCCCCTTGACTAGATGTTTGATTGGAGTAGACAGTGCTTTGTGGTGTTGTCTTTATTTTAGATTCCCTGTTGTTTGAAGATAAACATGTTCATTCGATTACCATTTGTAAATACAATGGTCAGGTCATGATTTTGTCATGACATATTTGAATTCTGTGGATCATATTATATTGAAAGAACTTTGTTTTACATAGTTATTCAATTTTCAAGGATTTTTTAATTTTCTGAAAAAAGGTTTGGCTAGCTAAATCCCCATTAACACAATGTTAAAATGTGATCTATTCTTGAAAGTTGATTTATTTATGTTGAGATTAAACCACAAATCAAATGTCAACAAGATCATATAGTTGTTAGTCATTGGAGCATTACATTTATCCATTTTGAAATATTCAATACATCAAGAAATTAAGTGACTTCAGTCCAATTTTCCCATTGTACAGTACGAGCAAATGCTGGTATCCAGCCCTCCCAACACATGTGCTGTCATCTATTTAGCCTCATCCCACCCTAAGTGCTTTATAATATGATTGTATAATAGCAAAAACCGACACGCACGTGTATATACAACTCTTGAGAACGATATACAACTCCTGGATAGCTACTAACCGGACTACTAACTCCTGGGCAGCATATGCAACTATTCGACCTGATATACAACTGGTCAATTTAGATTAACTTTTTATTGATTGAAAGATGGCGTATATGTTATTATTACTTAGGTTTGGATAATCACTTACTCTCGTGAGTATATGATCATATATTCACTTGAGTATAAACACGATATACAGAATCAACCACTCAATAACCTCATAATTTACAGCAAATTGTTAATATATTGCAGGTAGTGGTACATTCAGCACAGGAGGAACAGCTAGTGATCATTTTGAACTTCCACGAACCAAGATGGTTCAGGGATGCTGTGGGAAGGTGTTTAAACATGGCTACTGGGATGAGTTCAAAGAGGTCCTTAAGCTAGCCTGGCCTGTAGTAAGTATTTGTTCATTATTTGTCATTTCCCATAAAATGAACAAATATGAATTGATTTATGAAATAAGTCGTCACCATACCTACTACTCTAGATTGTATAGAATAATGATAACCAGGAAAATATTTGTTTCTTTGTTGATCAATTGATAAATGGAATATATGTTTTTGTTTCTGCCCATATAGATAATTACTCAGCTATGGCAAATGTTGATTGCCCCCATCAGCCTTGTATTCTGTGGACACTTAGGCAAGATAGAACTTGATGCAGTAGCTCTGGCTAATACCGTAAGTTTCTTGAATAAGCTGCACAAAATGGATAAGATTCTTTGTTTGCATAAAAATTCCAATTTACAGTATTCTTAATATATAAGTTTTGAGAACTGCGGTATTGTTTTACATTTATAATACTTTATTTAATTAAACAATAATTCTTGTAACCTGACACTTCCAGATGATCAATGTGTTTGGTATATCAATAGGAACAGGTCTGGCCACTGCATGTGACACTCTCTTTTCACAGGTAATAATTACTGAATTGATTTATGGGTCTATGGACATATACAGGGAGGGCAAATAAAAACGGGACACTCACAAAAAGGGGGGGTGTATAGGGGGTCTTGGAAATGCATATACAATATTTTTCAGCTCTCTTATACCATATACAATATTTTTTCTACCCTTTTATACAATATACAATATTTTTCACAGCTCTTATACCATATACGATATTTTAGTGAAATACAATATACGATAATTTTGAAACTGCTGTTGATTGAAGTTTGGATATTTATAAGGAAATAATATAAGGAGAGAATCCATGTACTAAAGTAAATATATTATTATGAGGCAAATAGACTCCACTTCATACCACAATGATCTCATTTATTACATTATGAATAAGACGCCATTCGGGTACTTCCACATGTTCAGAAAAGCTGTGACCACATTTTATTTTCAGGTAAACAAGTTGATTTAAAACACATTTATGGTATAAGATTCATGACTTCTCTTTAGTGATTTCACATTCACAACCTGCTTTAACCAAAACACTAACTTAACATTTCTGCAATTTGCTAAAGCCATTGCCTGTAAAAGTTCCATAAAGATATTCAAAATAAGCACAAAACCTGCATCATTGTAGTGGGTGGAACTCTGTGTTCCTCTTTCTTATGACTTACTTCCCCATGACTTATTTTAATGCCAATGGAATCCTTCATAGTGAGCCGGGGAAAAATTCCTTGAAACATGTGTTTCCTTGAAACATTCCACATGAATGTGGAATAAAAGATTCAACATGTGTTCTATGAAAATAAAGTTTGCTGAGGATTGTATCAGATAGATAATGAAGATTCATAATGCACAATAATTTTGTAAAGCAGTTACCTGGAAAATATTAAGTATTGAAAACAGTTTCAGAAATAAAGGACTTCACAAACTTCCATGTAGATAATTCATTTTTGATTGGACTCGAGTCTGGCAACTAGAGTTTGAAATAAAGGCAAGATGAGACTTGATTGTTTAAACATTTGAAACAGAGACACTTCGGGGTTTCAGATAAGGCAGCCTGAAAGACAGTATAAGTTAAACAAAGGTGTGTCAAAATTAAGCAAAGGAGTAGTATTGATATGGAAAACTGAATTCAACAATGTTTTTCTCTTAAACCAATAATTGAAAACATTCTGTTTAAAAACACGGTATTTTATGTAATGTTGACTGATTGACAACAATTTAATGCGAAATATTTTATAGAACTGTTTTTGTTAAAATTTTTTGTTTTTTAGTGCAATTGGTTTTGCTCCTTTGTACAAATTCTTGAGAATGAAATAAAATTTCTTTCCTAACCTTGTTGGAACAAAATAGCATATACAACATGTTTTTAGACCTCTCAATATTATAGTTATACCAGTAGGTTATACAAAGGAATCTTTGGTTGATTTTAAAAAAGTATTCAAAAAATTAAAACAAAATCCCCCACAAAAAGATAAAAATAAACCGTTTATTTCATGAACAAACTGACAAAATACTTTTTTAAAATCAACTAAAATTTCCTTTGGACAATTACAATATTGAGAGACCTATATATAAACATGTTGTGTTTATGTCGTTTTATTCCAATGATGTTCGGAAAGATGTCGCATTTCACTCTGGAAACATGATACCAAGAACAAAACAAGTGTTTGATGTGTTTTCTAAAACAATATAGATGAAAGTATATTTATATTTTTCAAATTATATTGTTACCATTCAAAATCAAAAGATGACCATTAAATTGACGATGTGTTAAATTTTTAGGTTTTTTATGACTGGTTTAAGGGAAACGTGTGTTCAAAAAGTTCTCCATATCGATACCACTCCTTTCCATATAGGTCAAACCACATGTTTCACGAATTATTTCAAGGCAAAGATGTATTGATGAGAATGAAAACTACTCTATGTAACTAGAAATAACTTTCTTTTAAAGGACCATGGTATCGCAACAGATTTCAGTCATATGTAAGGCTAATGCATTAACTCCAAGACAAGCAGTCATTGGATGACCAAAATTTAGCTGAAAACAATGGATAACATGAGTTTTTCCTATGGGAAAATAACACTGGAAATTTTGTTTTCCACTTTATCCCAAATGAATCATATTTTAAAGGTTAACAGTGTCTCAAAACTGTGTCTCAAAGTGCAAGATATTGGGGCATCAAACACTGAAAAAACATATGTGGAAAGGGCTGAAAATCAAGACAACATTTCAGAAAAACCTTCCCTGTCTCAAAGTCTAAATTGTTTTATTACCTCTATGAGTGCTTGATCTGGAGATAATGCATTGGCCTAATATATGCACCTGTCCATGAACATTTGATCAAATCCCCAATAAATAGCCGAAATCCAGCATTTGACAGTTTGCACTTTTTTAATAGATCTTTTATCTTAGAACTCCACAGCTCAAAAAAAATCCAAGAAGACCTAACATATTTCCCCGTCCACTGCGCCTATTCATTTAGCCATTCAATTGTAAACTTTCTCTTGAAAAAATAAATCTAGATTTGTTGAATTTTCTACCGAAAATCAGCTACTCCCCCTCCGGTCATTTCTTCTGGTCACCGGGCGTGATTCTTATTAGAGATTGTATTTAACACCTCCTGTAAAAATTTGAATGAAAAGGGCACAAAACTCTTAGTTTGAGAGTGATTTTCTCTGAACTTACAGTATTGATTGACCTGGAATGTGGAACGAATTAGAGAGACTACTTTTCCATGTTTTTCCAACACGGTTACAGTAAGAGAGTTGACACAATGGGGAACTTAGGGGTACAATTTCTTCATAATTAGCCTTCTTTAATTCTAGATACCATATACCATATATTTTCTATTATACAATATACCATATTTTTTACACCTCTTATACCATATACGATAAATTTTTCCCCCTCTTATACAATATACAATATATTTACACCCTCTTATACGATATACAATATCTCTATACACCCCCCCCCCCATAAACTCTATTCAAATTAGCAGATGTGAATCAAATTCATGAACATTAGGGAGTATATAACGTCTGAATGTATGTAGAATTTCAAATCAAACAATGCAAGTTTTCATTATTTATTTCTTTAAGCAAGAATCAATGATGGCGGGAACAAACGCTAAGAAAGTCTCATTGTGCAGCTCTGATATTATTTTTGACATGAATTTTTTAATTAGTCAATTCTCACATAATATGTTATGTTATGTTATATTTTATTTATGTCTCACAACATTTAAAATACATACAATTATAAAACAATAATATTAAAATCGTCTGGCCTGGCCGGTGTCGACATAATGACTATATAAAAGGTTAAATTATCACAGTAGAGTACGTCTTTTTAAAATCATTTTTATAAGTGTTTTGGATAGTGTCCTTTGTAAGCTTTGTGTTGACATAATATTGCAAAATTGTTGAATATGGCAAAACTGGTGAAAGTCAGGAATTTCTTAAACACAATCTAAAAACAATGGAGTTCTCAATTCTTCATAATGTAACTATTGCACTGTAAAAGAAAATGAAACTCGTCCTCAACAGTTAAACTATCACAGTGACATCGGCGATCCTGGAGTGGGGTATTGTTATATCGTCCAGTTTCGATCTTCAATGGGAGTGTTCCACTTCTGAGTTGGGCAATAGCTCTGCGTACACTCCTTGACATGTTGATACAAGTATAATGGGCGGGCTGCATGGAATGTGTTTTAAACAGTCTACTGTATATGTCCGTAATTTGTTGCCATTTGGGTTACGACTATCGTCCCAAAAACTGTTGTGTCATTCGACGTGATCTGCTCTGATACACGCTTCTTTGACCTCGTTAAGATGGCATTTAACTCGAGATAAAGTATCATTGTTGATAAGCTGAGTAAAGTCCAGATCTTGTAACATTTTCCGGGAGAGATTTTCCCAAGATTTATGATGTCGAAAGTACCATTTTGATATATGTTTCGGTGTCCTATCTGTAGCCATGTTTTTTAAACGGCACCAAAGTCTAGTCACCTCGACACGCTGTTTGGTAAATACCGAAGTCCAACAAATATCTCCTTTGGTTGATCCATTTGGTGTTCTACGTCCAACACCCAGAAAATACCTCGCTGCTTTGTTTTGAACTGTATTCATTTCTGAATATTGTCGAATACCCCAAATGCCGGCACCATATATAACATAATAGGGGAAACAAGAGCGTCAAATAGTTTTGTAAATACTGCATTTGGTAATCCACCCTTTACATTTGATTTGGCAATTAGCATTCCTAATGCACGATTTGCTGATTTTGCAAGTATTTTAACAGTTTGTCGCATATCAAGATGTTCATTTAACGTTAGTCCTAGATATCGATATTCCATGTATGTGCATCTTTTGGAGAAATGCTAATTTTGCCTAAAAATATCAATGGTCTATGTTGTCTCCCAATCAGCACTATTGCTTTATTATCTAACAACGAAAACATGCATCATACATATAATATGTTAAAACAGTTTTATATGCCTCTGGTTAAAATGAAATATAGCGCACTTTACTAAACACTATATTCATTATTTACAGGCCTATGGAGGAAATAATAAGAAAATGGTTGGGGTTTACTTACAAAGAAGTATGTATAACTTACTTTTCATACTTTTATAGTTAGTGAATTTTCAAAGACTAGTTATTTATCATAATCAATAGCCTTTTTTGATACATGTGTGTTATTCTGTTTTAAGGTTTGTTGAGTTTTGTTAATTTTCTGTTTCATTTAGGCTTGTTGATGATATTTCTCGGTGCAGTGGTCTTGGTCCCGCTTCATCTTAACGCCGAGGGCTTATTACGTGCTATTGGGCAGGATCACCAAGTTGCTAAGTATGTAAACAAATATTGATGACTAATGATTTATTATGTCATAACATATGGTGCGTAAGTTATCGAAATCATTTTAATACGTATACTGTACATTGTCTCAAACTGTTAATACCATGACACATTAATGCATGTTATTCTCTCGTTTTATAGGGGTGCAGGAGAGTACCTATTAATCTTTATACCCGGACTTTTTGTAAGTATGGTTTTAAATGCTTGAATGTGAGCTTGCAAGTTCAGTGAAGTTCCTTGTTTTAGAATGCTTGATTGTGAACACTGAACAGCTGCCCTGTTTAAATGCTTAATCTTTAACTCTAAATGCTGGCTTGTTTTGAATGCTAATGCTAAATAGTGAACTCTCAACTGTTGCCTTGTTTTTAATGCTTAATTGTAAACTCTCAATGTTGCCTTGTTTAAATGCTTAATTGTTAACTCTGTACAGTTGCCTGTGAACTCTCAACTTCTGCCTTGTTTTTAATGCTTAATCTTGAACTCTCGATGTTGCCTTGTTTTAAATACTTAATTGTCAACTCTCAACTGTTCCCTTGTTTTTAATGCTTAATCATGAACTCTCAATGTTGCCTTGTTTTTAATGCTTGATCGTGAACTCTCAACTGTTCCCTTGTTTTCAATGCTTAATCGTGAACTCTCAACTGTTGTCTTGTTTTAGATGCTGAATTGAACTGTCAACTGTTGCCTTGTTTTTAATGCTTAATCGTGAACTCTCAACTGTTGCCTTGTTTTAGATGCTTGATCGTGAACTCTCAACTATTACCTTGTTTTAAGTGCATAATTATGAACTCTGAACATGGGCTATACTTTTTTATGTGGACACTTTTAATTGTATTTTCAGCTTACCTTTATGTATAAAGTGCTTGTCAAATACCTTCAGAATCAGAACATTTTATTTCCATCACTCTTTATTGGAGCGATCGGTAATGTTGTCAATGCCGTACTGCACTATGTTGTCATAAATGTAATGGATCTAGGAATGAAGTAAGACATCATTAAGAGTACTTTCTCCATTAAAATATTTTATGTTTCATTTTCAGATAAACTTTCTCTACCAAGTCATAACAAAATACCTTCAGAATCAGAACATTGTATTTCCATCACTATTTATTGGAGCGATCGCTAATGTCGTCAATGCCGTACTGCACTATGTTGTCATTTATGTGTGGAATTTTGGCATACAGTAAGGGACATTTTTGCCTGTTCCTCCATTATAGATTGCATTTAGTGGATAGTACAGGGTGTCAAAAATATGTTCTCCCCCTTAATTTCAAGAGAATGAAATTTTTGCATAAAAGTGCATCTACTTGAGCTAGTCATCTGAAATTTCTCGTGGAGTTGCTCTGTGAAGCCTAGTTTTGATGTGCTAAAGAACAATTCAGATATCATGTAGAGAAAAAAGTTATGCAACATTATGTGGATGTTTAAGCTAAGGAGGGAAGAACATATTTATTTGACACCCTGTATAATAAAGGATTCCTGTATATGATTCGTGAATAAAAGTGTGACCCTGTGTTTTATGAATACAATAACAGGAGAGACCTCTTGCGACTCTTGATTCTTTAGAACATAGTGCACTTTGCACACTGTTTGATGGGCACCATAATTCTACCCAAAACTCCAGCACCATAACACCTGCTCAGACTCTTCAAGGATATGGTGATTCTCTTGTTGATTCAAATCTAACATAATTAAAGTTAGAATTAATGTTTCACTGCTTTAGGTTATTCAATTACCCAAACATTAACTTTTTAGAGAACATAAAACTATTTGGACGTGTTTTTTATTAATTTGTAGTGTCATATTATGTGAACATGAGTCCTTGTCAACGTCTCAAGTGTTTATTTACAAAGAATAATTCACTATCAAAACATAATTAGACTATCATCAGCTGATCATACGAGAATTTGTTTTTAGGGGTTCAGCCGTGGTGCAAGTGATCTCATATGGAACGATGCTGCTACTTCACATCATCTATATACTTGTCAGCAAAATCTATGTGGAGACATGGGGAGGTTTGTCATCTATACTTTGAATAATTAATTGAACACAATATATTGCTGAGCACTAATTATCACACTTAAAGAAGTTATAAAATATTGCAATAAATATGAAAAAATAGTAGTCCTAAAAAGAATTTAGATATCAAGTTATTAAAGATTTAAGATGCAAACTGTTTGGATTAATTCTTTAGAATTGAAAATGGGACGTTCCCTTTCTTATTTTTGCAAAAAAATTCTTTTCTAAATCACGTCTCGCCCGTTTAAAGAATTTTACTTCTCATATCACTGAATGCTATATTGTATAGATTTGCTATTATATCTAGTATCTACAAATATTTTTGATCCCAAGCTAAAGTTATAATATTGGTATTTTAATATATCCTTGAACTTGTGTTGTTATGGTCTTCAGTCCACTGGTCCCGTTGATCTTGTATTGTGAAAATGATTCCTGAGTAGTGGGAGAGGGGGCATTAGCATTAGCATTGTTTTTACAAGAATTAATACATTCAATTATGGGACCGGCAATATAAACTGTAATGAGAGTGTCAAAGGGTCAATATCCAAAGGCAAAGCCATCACCATAATCGCTAAAACATGCTATCTGATTTGAAAATGTTCGACCTTTCTTTTTTTACAGGATGGACACTCGATGCTTTTCAACATTGGGGGACATACATGAAGCTTGCTATACCTGGCATGTTGATGATCTGTATTGAATGGTGGAGCTTTGAGATTGGTACATTCCTCACCGGTAAGTGAACATATATTTGTTGTATCTTCTAAATGTCTTGTTTAATTTTTTGGCGAGCATTTCTGCTCTTACTTCAAAATAAGTTTATAATCATCATTAAATTCTAGAATGAATAATTTTGTCAAAGATAAACGAAATGATCAGCTTAATTAAAACATTTCTGAACATACCTCAATACCAAATAGGCAAAAAGTATTTCTATATTGGCAGGTATATTAGGAGCGAGTGATCTTGGTGCCCAGTCTATATGCTTCCAAATTGAGTCATTAGGTTATATGGTAAACAAATAGTACTATTTTAATCTAAAACTAACTCCAAATCCTTTTTAGGGGGGAGGGAGTTGTGGTGGAGGGAAATAGCAAATATAGATTTTATAACTCCATGGTTAAGCAGCAGTCAGAGTATTTTAAGGTCCCAGTTTCGATTAGGTAATTTAATTGAACCTATGTTATCGTGAAGATCCTGGAAAGCAAATTGATAATACTACACGGCTACCATATCTGAAACTGTGGTAACTCGATCAGTAGTGCATCGGGCCTTGGATTCTATCCTGTTCTTTGGCTCGATTTCCAGACAAGGAGTTGAATGTGGCACATTTTCTTCCATGTCTGTACCTGGCTTGTTACACTTTGCATAGCAAAGTCATTTCCAAGAGGCGCCCTTAGATCAATGCCTTGTGTGGTAGTAGTAGTTGTAGCAGGTTCCGTACTACAGGGTGTTCACTAACTAATGACACTAAGTCTCACATTTCGTCAACTTTTGAGGAATCTTGCTTTTTCAGCATATCTTATAAAATGTAATTGTGAGTTTATTTGAAAAGTTTTAAAAATCATGACCTCCAAACAATGAAATGACACAGACATCAAATATACTCAATTTTGATGAAACTGTGTATTGTATGATGGGGATTTAAATAACTTTGAGCAATGCATTCTCCATTAAATTTATGTCTGATGGTTATTCAAAATATGTCCTGTTTAGTGGATACATTCACAGTATGGTTCATTCATAGTATGACATCATAATAGTCCTAGTTAAGAAGATCTTTGCGATGTCTGGGATCTCCACGAGTCTTAGTTGGAAGGTTTGCCAAAGTCATCGGAAAGTCAAAGTCAAAAGTCATCGGAAAGCAGGTTTTGTGGAAATGGGAAACTCGCTGCAACAATTTGCAACATGGGTCCAAAGCCATCGGAAAGTCAAAGTCAAAAGTACCCTGCGTGCAGAGTCAAGTTGAACTGAAGACGAAGCTCTCTTTTAAGAAGTAAAGTCAAACGAATGCAAAGGGTAAGTCAAAAGTCAAACGTCATCGGAAAACAGGTTTTGTGGAAATGGGAAACTCGCTGCAACAAGCAACATGGTATATTGACCGAAGGGTAATATGATATTGACCGAGGGAGCGCAGCGACCGAGTGTCAATATGATATTTCCCAAGGTCAATATCATATTTTCCGAGGAATAAAACCCATATTCAATCCCGACCATAAATAACCTATTTATTCCATAATACATTCCTCTAAAATGTTACATTTGGATAATGTTTTTATCAATAACCCAGATGCGAGTAGAAATAATCTTGATTTACGTCATTAAAAATTCAAAATTCAGTCAAAGTAATATCATATTTGAAATCTACATGTAAAATTACATCTAGAAATGTGGTTTTAAAAAGTGTTTATTAACTTTGAAAAATTAATTTTCTTTGAAAATGTGACTTCTAGCTCGGGGAGATTCCCCATAGACCCCATGCTATAAAATCACAAAAAATGAAATATCTTTTCTTTTAGTGGACAGATAATATTTTGCTTTACTGGATATATTTTCATTAGTATAAGTATCAGACACATAAGGGTTACATGTAAATTGAGCCACTTAAATTGATAATATTCAAGTTTAAGTGAACGTTCTTATATACCTGCCATGTTAATTGACCCGAATCAGCCACCTGGTGGTGAAACTGGTAACTACCTACTCGCATTTGGGTAATTGGCCAAGGTTAAAAATAACCGGGAAACCAAAAATAGGTTAATACGTTCCAATGCGATTTTTTCCCGGGGACAATACGATTTTTTCATGTAATTATGATGTGCACGGACCTGGGGACAATTCGGGAAATACGGACTGATTTCAGCTTTGAGCGTTAATCTCTGCCTTATTTAAAAAGCTAGCTATGTGTTTTATATATCATTTTGAAGTATTTTTTATTCGCATTTCAGTGAAATTATTTTTTCTTTAAAATGTTGATGGGATCCAACATATTTTTAAAGTTAAACATATCCCGACATCGTCAAATACGCTGTAAGACGTAACACTTTACACTTACAGGGCTCGTTGAAATTGGGATAACTTTTGAAATAATGATCAAAATCCCACTAAAATTTCACAATTTATTCAATGGAACATGTTCATTTATGACGTCACAATTGCTTAACGGCTACAGCTCAAATTGTCTCATATGAACGCTTTTAAAATTTTCAAAATTGTGTAAGGTTTTGTAAGCGAATGGGACGAGCAATAAGTTTACCTTCATTTAACCTTCTAATTCAAGTCTGATTTGAAAGAAAAATTAACTGAACAATATTGTCATGGCGAAATTTACAAAACAATAACCAGTTTGTTTATTTTGCAAATAATATTAAAATAAGAGCTGGTTTTCGAGACTTGAAAAAAATGTGACGCATCGATTTTTTACCACAAATTCCATACATATCAATTTTTACCAACGCCCCAAGTGGATTTCTTGGCCGTTTTTCAAAATTCAAAAACATTTTAGAAATATTGTCCTCGAGATCTTGCTACCCTGTGAATTTTGTCATGATTAGATAAGGATAAAGTATTTTATTTTTAGGTTGACTAAACTTGACAAAAATGTGACGCTTGTCGTTTTTGACGTTGTAAGGCTGTTTGCGCCCTATTCTGCTCATTGTTTTGTCTTGGTTTTTGACGCCATAATGTTACGCTAATTGTCCCCAGTTTCGTGCGACGTGTAAATACGCTCCAATACGATTTTTCCCGGGGACAATACGATTTTTTCATGTAATACGATTCAATACGATTTTTATTCCTTCATATTCCCCTGGGAAAACAGTAATATTATGGAATAAAAATAATGTATTGTATCATTCGCAGAAGTGGTATGTTCAAAATTAAATGTTCCTTAATTGTTGTTTAATGTGACGTAATACGTGTTGTGTCAAGGACAATGTTACAAAATCGAAATGTATATGATAAAATTAACTATTTTTATTCTTGGGAAATGAACTTTGGTACGTGCACTAACAATTACATGCCGGATAATATGTGCAAAATCTAGGAAAATTGGTTAAAAACTGTACAAATGGGAGACCTAGTATCATTACTTAGTGAACACCCTGTATATATAGTTTACTTATACTTTACTTATGCACATCTCGTTCATACCTATACTGTAGTAGCAGTAGTTGCATCCTGTGAAAATATCTACTAGTGAATAGCAGGGTTGACTTCGAGGGCTTAGTCCTTTCAGAAGGGGATAGTGTAACGATCCTGAACAACGAGAAGTTGCTACTGCAACAAATCTACTCCAACTTATCTTTGGAAGCTATGTCGAGCATAATTATGTCATCTCTTATCTCTGATTTGAATAAATATATTGCCAGGTTTATTAGGAGGGAGTGATCTTGGTGCGCAGTCCATATGCTTCCAAATAGACTACATGGGGTATATGGTAAACGGATTTCATGAAATATAGTTATTCCAGGTTCAATGCACAAACATTCTATCAGATTTGACACACTTACATTAAGGATATCTGGCTTGCATATAGTTATACTATTTATTTTCCATCCAAACCACCTCCACCCCCGGCCATTACACTACAACCTGCAATCTTCTTTCTAGTTACCATCCCAACGAAAAACATTTGTATGTTTGTCTTGGGAGAAGCCAGTTTCTTAGAAGAAGTATTTGATATAATCCTCTAATTTCGCAACCCTAATATTTATTTCCAAATTATAAAAATTCCAAAGAGCACTGTTATGATTGCCTGTATACTACATCTAATTCTAATGTATTTTGTTAATCCCTGCACCAGTTATACTTATACGAGAAGACACATCTAGTCTTTACCTGCAGTATTGCATGCATTGTTCGTTTTCATATTGGTCCTCTTATATTCCTCTTTACCCCAGAAGTCTCTGCTCTCACGTCGGTTTCTCTTTCTGCTGATATTTTGGCTCGACAGGTCATTCAAGAATGCTTATGGCATCAACCTTGTGTGGTTCCAAAGGGTACCGATTGAGCACCCACTATTAAAGGATATTGTTTTCATCAGGTCAATACATATAAACAAGAAGATAGCTAAAGATACACCATGAATGTCCATGGATACGTTTATAGCTACCGCAATGATTTGACTGAAGTTGTGAATCAAGATGGGCCGCTACTGATTGAAACGTTGAACATCCATTTTATTTTCATTCCATGTAGGATTACTAGGTACACAGACTTTGGCGGCCCAAGGAATCCAAATACAGGCGGATGCATTTGCATATCAGGTTCAAACTGTATTGATATAATTGCTTAGGATTTCATTTAGCACACTTTAATTTGTCGCTTAATCCATCCTTGGTCCAGGGGTAGTGCAGTGCTGCTAATTTAGCAGTGAAGCCCGGTCTTGAAGATTAGAATGCACTTAATCTGGCTTGCTTCACTTCATTAGTTACCGTAGTTCCTTTTCCAAAGTGCACATCATAATGTTAGTTGATTATTCAAAACAGTACGCTGCACCATTAACGATGAAGCAAGCACAGTTGCGGCAGGGGAATTTTGATATAGATAGTTAGGCCTATTGCTACAATAACTTATTTAAGTTCCATTGTTGCGATAGTTTTGCAGACCAAGTTAGGAATATCCTCTCTTAGTAGATTACAACTGAGACTACAACTAGACATATCTATATTGTATCATTGCAATATTCCTTTAGGTTTGTTGGGAAATTCAGTCCTCGCTGCCCAGGGGATCTTGATGCAATCTGGCATGATTGCCTGGAATGTAAAGTACATTATATTCGATGTTTGCATGGCTTGGATTCCAAAGATGTTGTGTGGGCCAAGCTCAAATTCCATTCACTGGTCATTATTCTAGCCCACCCTGTATAGACACCAAACCAGAGCTTCATCCACACATATCCTTATCAAAAACTGTTGCACACAAAAGGGTCTTGACGTACTGCAATACTGTATGTATCCAAGGATGAAATTACATCATCGCTGATTGATCGAACGTTTCGTACTTTAAATCATGTAAGGAAACAAAATGTATGATTTAAAACTTTGACCACACACTGAAACACATCCATTCCCAAGTTTGTTCCACATTAATTACATATAGGCAAGCACGCACATGTATTCCCTAGACAGTTTTCAGTAGTAACTAGTGTTTGTAAGACATTTACATATAGGCAAGCACGCGCAATGCATTTACTAGATAGTACTTAGTAGTCACTACTTGTTGTATCATGTGTTTATTTTTTAACTGTCTTAGAGTATCATATTGTCATTTTTGTTCTGCAGGTATTTTAGATATTTCTCTACTTGCGACCCAGAGTATTGCAATGCAGAATAGTGCTTTCGTAAATAATGTAAGTTCGCTATAAATTGAGAATCCGAAAACATGCGCCTCCATTTAAACAGGGATTGGATGTCGAGTATACGCACTAGTGATGTATAAGGGTGCACATATACCATGTAGCTTTACAGGTTTCTGCTCCTGCATTTCTTTCATATTTTCTTCAATTTAAAGATTGTGCTATGCACGATGGAGAATTCCTAACATGGGGGTTTAGTGTTCACAAAGTGTACCTTTGAGGATGATCCCTCAGGCTAACTAGCAGGACAAGAAAATAATCATTGTCAACTTTGCAAGACGACATGTGATAAGCAAAAGTGATTCAGTTTGATTTTCTAATATGTTTTTGGAAAATAATGACTATTTTTAAAGAATTTACTTAAAAACCATCCGATCATACATGAGGGTTATGTACTGGGAGGTTTTGGATACAGGGTTTATCCCAAGAAAAAAAGGGTGGACCGAACGATAAACCCTAATCCAAAATCGACAGTACGCAGATGTATTCCATACCTATTGAGGTTTTCAAAAACGATCAATGAATTGATATCAAAATGTAAAACTAACAGCACAAGTTTAAAATATAATTTTCATCTCGTTAATGAAGTAAACGAAAACTGAGTTTGCTTTTCAAAAGTGGGACAGGATGGATACAGCCTGTATCCATCCCGTCCCGGACCTCTTGTCGATAGCTCCGATACACTAATATGTTCCCTCTCGTTATGTACCTAGAACCTCAGTAGGTATGAAATACAATATTTTCTACCTTCTTTATTCTCCCCTCTATCTTGGATTACCAAGGCATGCGTAGAATACAACTGACTTTTTTGTTCACGATAGTAACCACACAGCAGTACCCATTCTCTTGAGAGCTCATGATTCAATTGGTCTCTATAGACCAACAGAGGCGGCAGTGTCAGAGACATCAATCACTACCACTGCCTTATTTATAAGCTCTCCTAGAGTTCCGTTTTGTTTTCCTTTTATAGGAGTGTTCGGTGCAGCTACATTGGGAGCACAGGGAATCCTCGATCAGATAGATAGCCTCTCATTAAGAGTATGTCCTGATGTCATTTAAAATCTGACAACATGATACGACTAAATAAGGGTCCCAAAAGGGCCACTAATTTTAGGCCCAAACATTTTTTCGGTCCATCCTAGGGGGGGGGGGGGGTGGTATGCCCCCGCAACATTATTAAAGTTGGCCATTAAAGCCAAAATAGTAACTTTCTCATTTCAAAGAGATGATTGGGCTCGCCGAAAACCAAAGCAATATATGGCTGATGCCAAAGCAAAACAGAGCATGTTAAATATTCATGTTAGACTGAACAGTGAACGCCTAATGCCTTAAATAAAGCAGAGCATGCCCATATCCCTCAACCAAAAGCATGTCCAAAGGGAGAGCATCGCCAATGCCCGAATAGTGCATCAAATAAGATACCAAAGTATGTCCCTTCATCTGCAAAAGTATTCTAGGTTTATGGTATTTGGAATCAGCCAGATGAAAATGGTCACATGGACTCTACGGTATCAACATTAGATACATTTTGTGTTTCATAGTTTCTATCCCTGGAATTCTGATTGAACCAGGAAAAAAATCTATTTACTAATTAATTAAAAGTCTGCATTTTACACATTTAAACTCTCTTTCATTAATTTCTTTACCTTATAAAATAGTGTTCATTTGATGCGTGACGTGTTTTAACAATTATTTAACTTTGAGAAACATCTAGCAATTTTCATCAAAGTTAATTATCAATGATCGCTAAAAATGGAACTTATTTTTATAACTGATCATCTTATCTCATTATACCATTCCAGTAAACATTGCCACTCTTTGCTTCCCAAAATAAGCTAAAATATTTTGCCAAAATTCATGATGTCATGAGGTGTTGGCAGAAATGTTTACAAACAATGTATTTTTCAAAATAAGCAATAAGTTTATCCTATTTATGCTAGAAACATTACTCCCTATATACAACCTATGATATAATGAATTCACCTAACATATTCTTCTTTGTAGTAAATGAGAATGCGAAGTCATATTATCAGTGAGATGTGGACTAATACAAACTATTCATTAGCAACAGTTGTGTTTTACAGGTATTTTAGGTTTAACTCAGCAGGGAACTCAGAGTATTGTAATGCAGATTGATGGTCTTGTATACAATGTGAGTTAGTATTGTTCACGAATAGCATGAATTATTTCATTTAAAGATAGTTGTGATAGCCTTTAATTAAGCTCTAATGAATCCTATGGGTGGTACTTACCCGGGGGTATTTAGTATTAATCAAATTGTGATAGCCTTTGTTTGGTTAATTAAGCTCTAATGGCTCCAATGGGTGGTGCTTATTGCTAAAATCAAAGTTGTGATAGCCTAAATTGTTTGATTAATTTAGCTCTAATGAATCCAATGGGTGGTACTTACCCGGGGGTATTTAGTGTTGATAGACACGACCAGTGAATATCGCTTGATATTCCATGATATGTGACACGATTTTGACCAATCATACAACTGCTGTCTTGACAGTGATGTAATAATGAATGATATCCTCATTATTGCCTACTGATAATCATTATTAACAACTTAGTGTATATCGCCAAAATCATTAATTATAAATGAAGTAACCGAGGGATTTAATAGCATTCATTTGATCAAAGATAGGAGGGAGAGGCACATCAGCTTGATAAATACACTCTAAAGACCAGTAATTCATTATAATCTATAGTTCATATATTCACGCCAAGTGTGTTAAACGTTTCGTTACTTTACATCTCATTTTAACAGATTAACAACAAAGGTTGATAAGAGAATGAATGATAAATAAAATATAAGAGTTCGTGTGGCACTAATGTATTATCAACTCTGCAATTGCAATTTTTGTATTATACTTATTCGGTATACCTTCGTAATTGGAGAATGTGAAATTCATTATTGATTGCCTCAAATGGCGAAACGTTTGTTTCCAACCTGCCCTTACACCGATTGCTTATTTACTATTTAGCAAATGTTTATAAAGCAGGTAGAAGGATTGTCATATCCCAATTTGCAATTTTCAGTTAATATCTAGATTAAATCAGATATACCGAATGTATACGCGAACGTATAAAATACACAAGCAACGATTATTTGTCTGATAATTTAAACTCACACACATTTAGCGAGAAATCGGTACATTTAAAGTGTTAATGATGTGCTGTAGTTTAATAGTTGTACTTATGACAACCGCGATGTTCTTTTTAATACATCATAACATACAAGGATGCGTCATCTCAAAATATTACAAAATCATCAATGGTAAAAAATTAAATGTTGATGCCATGAAACAGTTAAGTGACATAGAAACGAAACAATTTTGTATACTAAAGTGTCAAATATCTGCTGACTGTGAGGCGGTCAATTACTCTCCACTTAGTAAAACGTGTGAGTTAATCCATAGACAGAACTCAAATGGTTTAATAATCTCGGTTGATGGATGGTTGTATAGTGAATGCTACCCCAAGAAACAAGACAAAATGAAGCGTGACTGTTCAGACCATCTGTCCAGTAGCTGTAACGTATCTAATGGAGTATATACAATTCAGCCGAATCCTCGAAAACCTGCCTTCGAGGTTTTCTGCGATATGACAGATGGTGGCTGGACCGTGCTGCAGAAACGATTTGATGGAAGCGTGTCATTTTATGATAAACTATGGAAAGCATATAAGAGTGGATTTGGAAACTTGAATGGTGAGCATTGGCTTGGTAACGATAACATCCATTCTTTAACAGCTAGTGGGTCATATGGAATCAAGTTTGACCTCCAGGATCATCATGGATCATGGTATGATGCGTACTATGAACCCTTCTATATTCATTCGGAAAATGAAAATTACCGATTGTCCATTGGACCCTACATCTCAGGCACGGCTAATGATAGCATAAACAACATTAAAAAAAGTATGGGCTTAAATGGGCAAAATTTTACTACAAATGACAGAGATAATGATTTATGGTCCAATGGCAACTGTGCACTAGAACGTAACTCCGGTGGATGGTTTTATAATAAACAATGTTCCTATGTCCGTCTTAATGCCAAGTACAGTTTTAATGGGGCATATAATAACACTGTCATGGGCATCCGATGGCAAAGTATTACACATAAAACACAACCTTTTAAGTCCCTAAAAGCATCTACCATGAAAGTAAGACGCATTAATTGACTTCAACGTTTGAGGACGTGATTATTTCAAAATATGAAATGATCTAGGTGACGAGTAAATAAAGTATTTCAATCCAGACTTAAAATGTAATGGAAATGTTGCATTGTGCGATCCACAGACTCTACTATTCCTTGGATAAAAGATAGACGCCGATAAATCAAAATGGAAATGTTGTGCCGGTGTTGGTTCTTGAGCGGAAAACACTTTCTTGCGATAAGAAGTGATTGATATGATGAAACCGTTTTAATATTCTCTTTGAAAAATTCCTCAATAGTAAGACACACACTGTTGAAATGAACGAATGTCTGAACTAATTGGATATAATACTTGGTGAACCGAAAATAGGACACTCACATACACTCCTCTCCATAAGTTTGGCAACCTTTTTCATAACCTGCAAAGAAAAAACATAACGATATGTTACTTGTTACATTTTCTACTTCAAATTTTCTAATTTTTTTCCTCAATTGCAATAAGTCGAAAATTGATGAAAAAACAGTCTCCAATTCCATTACCATATTAAGTCTATAAATTGAACATAAATTCTTTTAGTCGATGTGATTATTTATTGCCTTGAAAATGATATATGAATAACAACATCTGTCGTTTGAATGAAAACGTAGCTCTGAGTTGTTTTGTCTTTTTCTAGTTTTGTAATTTTTGTTTTTATTAACAGTTTACCGTCAGGGAGCCTAATTAGTACAATTAAATGATAATTTAATTAGCCTAATTAAAGGAATACGTTTCATTACTTACAGCTTAATTAGTCTAATTATCTATTGATTCTTATTACATTAAGATGGGATATACGCCCTTTAGATATTTTATTGTTCGGCTTACCTTATCGATTGTTATCTACATATATATACGTTACCCTCTATTTCTCTATTTATTTGTATTTTTGGTCTATGTGGATATACATTTGAGCAATATAATAGTGATTATTTTAGTTGCTTACCTTCATTTATTACTAACCATATCTCTTTTACCATTTTCTTGATCTCACCTTAGTTGGGGGATAATTCATGGGTGGTCTTTTTGGGGGAGGGTTGGCGGGTAAATACTTACAAGATTCGCTCAGATATCAAGAGCTACCTCCAGCCTCAATAAAAAATGGAAGGAAATTGATGATTTTCTGCGCATGCGCGCTGACCTACATTGAACTGTATTTCCTGGCAACCAGTTTTGTTTACATGCAATCTTCAGAATTGAAATGTTATAATTGACTAACTCCCATAAAAAACACATAAAACCAATTAATTTATTATTAATTGTTATTTCTTGGTTCAAGGGTGGGTTGTGGGTTGTTTTCAGCAGTCATACTTTGAAGTCTAGTGGAAAAATGAAGTCCCAGTTAGCTCGTAATATTTGTCCAGGGGATGGATCATTCTTACTTCATACTTTCATATGTACTACTCCCCTCAACAAACTGTTCATAATTTCATAAATCCAATTATTGCATAATTATTATTTAGTATTTCATTTTCTTGGACAAAGCATGGATCATCCTTTCAAATGTTTCAATAATACTTGATGGTTTTAGATAATTCCAATTTGTACAAAATGAAGGAAATATAAGCATTCATTGTTTATATACATTATATTCCATCAATGTTGAGTAATTTAAATGCATATGATAACTCCTGCTAATACGTGACACTGTATGAAACAACGTCTATATTTGCTTAATTATTAAAATATTTGAGTTACACATATATAGGCTTTTAATTAATGAAATACTTTAGGGATGATCGATTTGAACAACCAAAGCACTAATGGGATTGCAGTCGAATTGGACGGTTTTGCATATAATGTAAGATTTTGGTGCTTAAAGTCAAATATTTGGGATTCGATTATTTTGTTGTAGCAAATTGTAATGCTTCAGATTTTGTCATTATCAGTTCTATTTTTTATTTTGATTGTTATGATAATCAAAACCAATAGCTTATATTTTAGGTGTACAGAAATATAAATGTGATATAACATGTAACTCACAATACAAGGGCAGCTCTGTCTAACGCACGTTGTAATCTGCAAATAATTTGTATGTAGTGTCTTGCTTCATGCCTGTGCATCTCTTTTGTACTTCACCTTCCCAACCCAACATGAGACTGTGTAAGGGGGGGGGGCTACACAGTCCCGAGGCAAGACTATTCATGCAAAATTATATAATGTTCATTAACATAGTCTATGTTGTTATTAATATCATATGTTTTCAAGTCTCTATTTATATTTTATTCTGCTTAGTGATATCGCAGATCAGAGCTCATATTTAGTCCATTCAGAGACATATATGTCTCTGATCCATTGAATAGCTATAGTTCAAAATGATTATTTCTCGAAATGTACTGTATGCATTTTGCTTTCTTTCTATATAACAATTCATGCTTCTTCCTTCCAAGCTTTTCTTTATAACCTTGTGTGCTGCATACATGTAGCTTTTCCCAGTTTATTTATCATAATGCACGGCTTTCTATACGACATATCGTAAGGCCTTTTCCTTAGTTTCATTAAATGTTAAAAGTAAACATAAGAACTTGAATAAAACTATTTCATTATAAAATCTAAATAATAAATATAGAATATCCTTAAAGGTTTTTATTGGTCAAAGAAGAAATATTTAGTTGTTTTTATACTTATAAAAGAAACACAAATTATTGTGATTATTTTGATAGCCATTTTGTATGTGGATGTCTTACTGTTTTATTTTCTACCTATTAACCTATCCAAATTAATTTATCCAATTGTATATAAATTATAAGTAATGATGTACATATCTAATTGTATATCATTGTAGATTCCCCTCGGCTTAGGCATAGCATGCAGTATACGGGTGGGACAATACTTAGGGTCTGATCTCCCGTCTTACGCTGTACAAAGCTTCAGGGTTTGCACTACCATGGTTTGTAAGTATATCTTTTCTAGATAATTAAGTCGTGATTAATAACGTTATTGTACACACAATGTAATGCCATTCTGAGAGGATTTCCTTCAATGATCTTGTCAATTCAAATAAATGTTGACATAAATTGCAGGTCGACTTGGAATAAGGTCCATTTCAAGTGTGAATTTTTATTTAATTATTATTTAAAAACACTTTTCTTTTCTTCCAATTACATTTATTGTTTGCAGGGGTTTGTTCCATAACAGTCGGTCTCATATTTGTGTCGCTACGCTTCTACATTCCAAGGGCTTTCACGGATGATAAGTAAGACGATATTTTATGAATAACTTTATGGCCAAAACAGCACGATACCAAACAATCAAATGGCTAAATTGCATTTTCACGACTCCTAGAGCTTATTGTCCTTAAATGCTTTTTTGAATCTTTAACGAAAAATACTTCATTCTGTCTTAATGTTTCTTTCAGTGACGTCATAGAGATATCTGCTAACTTGCTGCCAATTATTGCCCTTTATCAGTTTTTCGACGGCAACTGTGTAAGTTATTAAATTTATTAACTTCATTTCTAAGTGTATATGTTAATAATAGATGATATATTGAATAATCATTAGTCCACAGCAGGATCACACCGGAATACCCTGACAACGGTAAAGTCAGATACCGTTGTCACAAATGGCGGACATAACCGTCGCTTCAACTCTTAAATCACTTGGTCCTCGTTTCATGGAACTTTATCGTCGCTATTTCTGTGCATGTATTAATCTCTTGTAATGATGTATCATATGAAATCCCAATTTTTATCAAATGGGTTCGTGAATTGCTACAATATAATGTCTTCGATATCGTCAATGACAACGGAATCTGAATTTGAAATAATTTATAAAGACAACGGCATATGGTAAGATTTGACAACGGACTATGGTGGATGTGTCTGACTTTACCGTTGTCGGGGTATTCCGGTGTGAGGATGAAAAAAAACTAGAATTAGCGTCATCCAGAATGGCAAACATAATGCTTTCAACATCAAGAAACGTAATCTGAATGCCAGATATGTTTTAAACTAAAAAAATAAAAAGACGGCCTTGGTCAAATCAAATTTAAATGGATGATCAAACAAATATCATAACTGTTTGTATTTATAAAAGCAAATAAATGATCTTACATATTTCCGCCCCATAAAGTAGGAGGGTAGAAAAAACATACCGCACACTTAATCCCTGTTATATTATATTGTATTGTATTGCATTGTATTTTTCTACCAATGGAGATGAGTATATATCCCGTAATTGCCGGTGGTAATTTACGCATGTAACCATCCAAATAGACCAACGGATCTCCCCGTCGAGTGTTATTCTATGTGCGCACTTGTATAGTTGTACAAGCACCACAACCTTTTGTCTGTGAGTTGTTCACCTTTCAATCAAATATCCCGAATTTGTTAACATCATAAACAGAAGATATCCTATGATTTTTGAGGGATACCATTTTTATCCAGGAGTTGAGATCGGCGATATCCAAGAGTGGAGAAAAATGATAGCCCGAGAAAAGCATAGGATATCATATTTATTCTATGATCGCTATTTTGTGTAGATAATTTGACTTAAAAGTTGTTGTTTTCTAGTTCTTTTCTATTTTAACATCTTATTTTCTGTGGACATATTTTAAAAAAATGATTAGTATTGATTACATGAAAAAAATTAACTCATTTTTACAGAGCACATAATCTTGGAACTATATTGTTGCAGATCAAACAGACAAGCGGTTATTGGGCGCCAAATTTAAAACTAATGAAAAAACCGTATCTGGCGGATACTATACATGTATTTAAGACGTCATATGAGTCGGATACGATTTTAGTGGCGCATACCAAAATTATCTTGTGTCGTTATCCCCATAAATATTAGTATCCATTGGATAAAAATAGATATGACTGAACTGGGATCACCTGTTCCACCTCTGATCCTACAATTGGTTGACCTCAATCGCTGGATTAACTTTTGGCAATTTTTAGGCTGTTGCTCAAGGAGCTATACGAGGATCAGGAAGGCAGCTACCAGGGGCAATAGCAATGTTTATAGGCTACTATATCATAGCTCTACCTATAGGAATACCACTCATGTTCCTTACTAATTTAAGGGCGGCAGGTACGAGTATGTCTATCATGATCAATATGTGCAAATGGCAATGGCATGATATCAATATGTGAAACATTTGAAAAATTAAAGTCTGTCCAAGCATGAGCTTTCAATAAGATTTGAAAGCCCATCGTCCAAGGGATATATCCTTTCATTCAATAATAAAGATAAATGTGGTTTTGTTCTTTTTAATGAAATATGTGAGGTAAATCTGAAAGCATTGAATAGCCTAGTCTATGTTGATGTATAACTACCGTAATATATGTGTCGCTTTGTTGTGTTTAAGGTCTGTGGTGGGGGTTGACGCTAGGTCTTATTCTTGTATCCAGTACTCTAGTCTTGATAGTATGCTTCACTAACTGGGACAATGCCGCAAAACAGGTAATATATTTCATTATTATCCCATACATGTTATGTACATGTTATTTGAGTAAAATACTTCCAACTGATACTAAAGAATTAGAAGGATTTGTGTAATTTCCACAAAACCACGAAGGCTATCGATTGGCCTATATACGATAATTGATATTTCAAACCTGTAATTGTAAAGTGTGCCAAATGTGTGTTGATATCGACGACATTTAATGAGCGCTATTTTGATGGCAGCATATAAGGGTTATGTACTGGGAGGTTTTAGATACAGTGTTTATCTCGAGGGAAATGTGTTATCTTCCGGGGGACCGCAGGAACCAAGGAGGATACACATTTTTCCCGATATACTATGGTAGTGTATGTAATGGTACCCATGTACTGATGGACTTGTACCAATCCAGCAAACTTAAGGACTATTACATATCATTTGACATAAGATTCGTTACATTTTATAGATACATTTATTAAGTTTTCGTTTCAAAATGACACAATTCAATGTATGTTGAAACTGCATACTAATTAGGTACACTACTTTTACAACACAAATATATGATAATTGCTTTGAGTAACAATGGTGTCCAATAAATAAGGTGAAATATAACTTTCTTAATGTTGCACCAATCTTGATGAAATTTGGGGAGCTTATAACTCAAACCTTTTTACCTTTATTCTATAGATTTCGAGCTTTTACCCATTTGATTGGCCAGAGTTATGGTTGCTGTAGCAACCGAAACAACAAAAAGGCAGGGCAGATAAAAATCCATTTTGAAATGCAAAATCGTTCATCCTTCAACTATTACCATGTTTTTAAGGCGCAGGAGAGAGGAGGTGTGATGACAGACGATGACACAATGTACAACCAAACAACAATACTGGACACCGATAAATCATCTGAAACTACAGGTACAATACAATAAATTAAAAAGAATGAAAAGTAAACTTATAACTTGATATCATTTCAAATTGATATTGATACATAACTATATATGACATATGCTATTTCAGCACTACTAAGTAACAAAGAAAGAAGCTTTGAGCAGAGTGGCAACTCCATCAGGTCAAACAGACTCAATAGACAATTCTCAACTTCATACACTGTAGAGAATGCACCAATTGATTTAGAAAAACTTGAACATACTGGTGAACTCACGAACGCTGCATTGTTGTGTCGAAGAGGGATAACAGTGCTTATATGTCTGTTTATAGTCGGTATAGGAGTGCTCATTAGACTTGTTGTCAAATACCCGGAGGAATTGACTATGTTATGTGTACCATGGGATGGCAAAGGACCTTTACCTAACACGACAATGCCAATATGTAATGTTACCATGGAGACGACCACTATATTTCCAAATATGACAAAAATGGTGACTTAAGGATTTGTCCCCATTTATCAACAATGAAATTATACAAATAACATGATTGGAGTGAGTGGCGTCTTGCAGTAAAGGTGTTAACATTGGGGAAAACTTGACTGTTTTTTGTGATTAGACATATTACTTAAAATGTTTTTATTTTGAAATATAACAAACCGTTGTACACGATGAAATGGAATTGTTTGAAACTATCCAGTTGAGCCTGCATATAATGTTGTGTTGCAAGCAGTCAGAATATTATCAAAAACATTATTCAGTTTTATGTATTTGATTTTCCGGAACATGTATATACCTTATAAGATATTGGTATTAAAGTTTGACATTTCTTTAGTTTAATCTATTTGATGTTGAATAAAGAAACATCTAAGAATAGTACTAACATGAAGAAACAACCCCCAATACCCAGACTTTGATGAAGAAGTTATTACAATACATGTATATGTAGAATTAGAAAAATAAACTAAGAATGCCTTCTAATATCCTTACTATTGAAAATACTTGTAAACACTACTACTCATACAGTATGGTCGTTTCATTCCCAAAAGATGTGAAACGGATTGAATACACAGTTAATAAAGCAAGAGTATCAAAACGTCGACAGCCATCAAAGAGCCGCCAATATGCCATACTAGTAGTCCATTGAACACAAAATTCAAATACGCAAACGTCCAGCTGGACTTTTTGATTTTGTAAAAACATTAACAATACGTAATTTAATTTGATTTTTGGCATATTCACGCCTAACCATCGCTTAAGCAGGCGTCACCGTACGAGGGTTTTAAAAATTGATTAGATGAAAAAACGATTTCGGGTGTAATAAAAACAGCATTCTCTTAAAAGTGGTTTTAGCTTTCTAATTATGATAAAGGTTTTTCGACCACTGCTCGGATTTTTTCAGAGTGAATCGGCCCACATAATCGACCCGAGAATTTTTTTTACTTTTCGTTCGGTTATTATTTTCCCTGCCCTCTGGGGGTATTGATTATTTTTATGAGAATATGTATTTGTTTCCATTCATTTCTGGTAACAAGGATTAAATAAGCCTTACTGTTCAAACAAGAGGTAAAGAAGTGTCACATCTACATGCACATTATCACTGGTAAGTATCACGTGAAGGTTACGGCCATCACCTTCGCGGACAGTATTAATTACTATATTTTTAGTTTTCATTGAATTAACTATTTGAACGTTTTTTGACATAATGCTTTGATATTTGAACTAAACCAGGCTTTTCTCATATGCCTAACAAATATAGCCAATAGAGCCATCTTTACCCCATGCAAGATATTGCATCTTTCATCCTAAAAAGTCACACGTGCAAGATGATATTAACTTGTAACATCACTTGTTTAAAATAAAACATTAACAAATAGCTTTTTTGGTTTCATGATCCTTACCGTATCGTACATTTCCACCAAGCTTCCATTAAGCGGTGGAAAATATCGCCCATGCACTATATATGAACGTAAAATGATCATACTCCAGAGTTTCCATTTCATATAAGCTTAGTCTGATTTAGTTCATCAAAGCATTAGGCCAACTATAAAGAAGTTTAATTCGATGAAAACTAAAAATATCGAAATCGACACTTCCTGTCCCCATCTTAAATGCAAAGGTGACTGCAGTAACTTTCGCTTGATACTGATCAGTTTGACAACATTTATACGAGGGATTTTGGTTGGATCAACATTTGAACGTTCACACCAAAACTTATGCGATTCGAAGTAAATAAAGAGTTTTTTATATTACATCTCACAAATTATAATGAATCGTCACCGCACAGCTGGTGCGTCACCGTACAAATCTGATCTTTTTCAAATATACACAATGAATGGTTATTTGCTGAATCTTCGCCCGTTCTAAAATGTGTAGTTCACAAATACATGTTCTCATAAAAATAATCCAGACTCTCAGATGGCAGGGAAAATAATAACCAAACGAAATATGAAAAAAAAACATTTTTCACTTCAGTCGATTATATGTGGGCCGATTCACTCAGAAAAATTCCGAACAGTGCTCGTAAAACGTTCATCATAATTAGAAAGTTAAAACCATTTCTAAGAGAATTCTGTTTTTACTTCACATGAAATTGTATTTGTTTTCATCAAATTAATTTTAAAACCCTTGTCATAATTTGCGTCACCGTACGGAAAACCGTACTCCGCTATTTTTTGACGCTGTACGGTAACGGTGGTTAGGCGAGATATTGGAAGATAGAAACACAATTTTATACTGCCTGAATCCTACCAATGAATAAAAGTTGCTAAAAATATTGTATTCATCTTACCTTTTTACTTGTTAGAATATTACCTTTAATATCCGCTAAAAATATTACCGTTTATAGTATTACTCATGTTGCTTTGCATAGAAGTTCTGGAAATGTGTCTTTCTTTTAATAGATGACGATGTCATCCGCTAATAACACAGATGCGAGTAAGTTATTACCAGTTTCACCACCAGGTGACTCGTTCGGGTCATATAGCATGGCCGGTATAGTAGAAAGGGGGTATACGGGGAATCAACCCGAGCAAAAAGTCACATTTTCCAAAAAACAATTTTCAAATTTGATAAACAATTCTCGAAACCATATTTCTATAGATGTACTTTTACATGTAGATTTCAAATATGACATCACTTTGACTGAATTTTGAATATCTAATGACGTAAATCAAAATTATTTCTACTCGCATCTAGTCTATTTGAAACTTGTGTTTATTCTCAGTTTGACTTAACATTTTGTAACTGAATTAATTTGTGACTTGAAAGGATGAAGTTCGAACTTACACGTCTTGTGTAAGTGATGTTAGGGCACCTCTGTCCACTTAACCTGAATACGAGCATTTATCACCTTGTTTTTGTTATCTACGTTTTGTACTATATGAGACAAGAATATAAAATTAAGAACATAAAATTAAGGACGTATATTCATTTATGATACATAATCACAATACAGTAGATTAGAGAGATCTATGATTCTGGGCACTTACAGAAGCAGTTTTATCCCCACGGGCAACTGGGGAACAAACAGTTACAACTAAATGAATGAAGATGATTCGGGGATGCTGTAAGAAGATTTTTAAACATAGCTACCGGGGGGAATTTAAGGAAGTTCTGAAACTAGCCTGGCCTGTGGTAAGTATTTCATCTTAAGATATCAACCGGAACTAGGCTAGTCATTAAACAAATTTTTCTCCCGAATGATATGTTGACTTTCAGATCCTATCATATTTTCATAATACTCCTACAAGCACTAATTTATAGCATTTTGCGTCCAATTTAGGTTATAACCCAGTTGTGGCAAATGTTGATTGCTCCAATAAGTCTGATATTCTGTGGTCACTTAGGCAAGATAGAGCTTGATGCTGTAGCTCTGGCTAATACTGTAAGTTATTTTTCATCTGACAAAACACTACTTATTTATTCATTTATTTTATTTTTTAATTGATAAGAACGCTAGAAATTTACTGTATGTTCAAGCTCAATGTTATTTGACGTTTGATGATAGTTAGCAGGGGCGTAGTCAGCTTTCATTCAGGTGGGGGGGGGGGGGTGCGACCCCCCCCCCCCCAAATCGGTTTCCAGTCAGGGGGTGCGATTGTGACATAAACAAGCCAGAAAACAATATTTATGCTGAGTTTTACAAAAGTTGATCGCACCCATCGCACCCCCATGGTTACGCCTACGATTAGTATTGTAATGAATAAAGCTTAGGCCTACTTTGTTGGTTTCTGATATTTTCAGATGATCAATGTGTTTGGTTTGTCAATAGGAACCGGTTTGGCCACTGCTTGCGACACCCTATTTTCACAGGTGATCAATAGTCCACATTATACATGTAGTTAGTGTATTACTCTTGTGGCGACATAATCGGTACACTTTCAATAAAAATACATGTTTATAGACAGTTGGTTCATCATTCGACCGGGCATTCGACTCTAGATCGTTCATTTTGCAAAACGCTCATATCAGGCTGAAGGCCAATATAAGTGGTTTTCAAATGAAGATGGTAGGCCAGAAAAATGTTAATAGATTTTACCGCTGCTGTCGCCTTTACATCGGACCAAAATCTATGGTTAACGCATCAAAAGTCTACACAGTTGTATCCGTACCTTATGATGCAAAGGTTGAATTATCTTAAACTGCGTCCACTTCGAGACTTCGTTGTCACTTTGTATTTAGTTGCACAATGTGTTTTACATTGAAAAAATATGAAATTGAGTATGTATTTTGTATTTCTTCCTACAGGCATATGGAGGGAAAAATAAGAAAATGGTTGGAATTTACTTGCAAAGAAGTACGTATTATTAAGTACGTTATTGTCGTAATGTCAAATGCTTAAAGAGATAATGCCACATTGTTATTCCAGATAGCAAAAGAACTAGGGCGAGTATGTACACCAACGTGCCTAACATATATATAGTATATTGGTCGTTTACACCCCAGTCACATTTGATACGGTCGCCTTGCGGTCTATCATTTCTGCGGTCAGTAACATTTCTACGCTCGCCGTAGCATCTATGTCTCAAAACCTTTCGATACGATTTTCGAGTCTTAACCGTAAAATCGTATGAACGATATATCGTATACGATTTTAGAAAAACTTTACACGTTGTTGATAACGTGACTTTTATAAATCGTAAACGACGCTTAAAGACGATGTGTGTGAAATAAGAATTTATTTTTCAGGAAGTATTCGTGGTAAATGTGAACACATGCATGGCATCATTTATGTCTCAAAACCTTTTCGATACGATTTTCGAGTCTAAATCGCAAAATCGTATACGATTTTAGAAAGACTCGTTGTTGATAACGTAATTTTTATGAATCGAATACGACGCTTAAGACGATGTATATGAAATAGGAATTTATTTTTCTGGAAGTATTCCTGGTGAATGTGAGCACAGGCATTTATAAAAAAACGTGTACGATTTTCAAAGTGTATATTAACGTGTAATGAATATCTTGTATAATTATAAACCAGAACATATTCAAAATTGATATACGTGTTTTTTACAGAATGTTTTCAATAATTGCTTTAAGAGAAAAACATTGTTGAATTCAGTTCACCATATCGATACATATCCTTTAAATTAAAAACACTCAAGCCTTATATCTCTCAAAATATTCTGATGAGTTCTGGGACATCCTGCATAAGGTAATATATATAGATGACACTGCCAATATATTCAATTTCTAACAATAAACAATTTCATACATAATTGGATTTGAAATCATGAATAACTAGACTGGGGAAGTTCAATTTCAGACTCCAGATTACAGATTCTTTTTAGACTAACTGACTACCTTACCTGACCTGACCTGACCTGACCCGAGTGATGACCTGACTTATAACATCAGATGTGCAAATATAAAGTTTGCAATCGATTCAGGTCATTCTTCAAATTGAAAGATTATACATTTTTTCATCACTTTTTTCCTACAAAATGGCTATAGAAAAATTATTCAAAAGCAACTTT